TCGTCCCGTTTTTAGCACTGCATCCCAAAGGCAATCCGTACACAATTAAAAATGCCTCGCAGGATGCGAACGAGACCTACATCATATATCGGTCGTCTCCGCCCGTGCAATCAGCACGGTGCCTGTTACGCGGGTGAATACAACCGATACGATCAAGAATCTCCAAGACATTCTTTTGCACCCAAGCCAAATTCTCAACCTGGCTATGAAGTGCCGTATTTGGCACTGAATGTCAGATAAATTGCTGCGAAAGTCTTGACGCTTCCACTTGTTCTCCATTTGGTAGAACGTGCACTCCGATTGGGCATCTACTATTTTAATGGGAATGCGTTGCGCCTACGCCTCCAAAGAAAGACAAACCTGTCTCTCCTCTTCAGTGCAATCCCACAGATTGCTGAAACGTTGCTGAGCACGATAAAGCTCCGTCTGCAATCCCAGCACAATAATTTGGAGTTGAAATGTTCCGCCCCACCACAACTATTGGTGGACTTGCACGGTGGTCAACACTTTCACGTGGAGCATATTCTGAACCATTGCGACGAGAAGAGCAGCAAACGAGTAATCTAGTCTGCTGGTGCAGCTATCTTCCGTCGTACGACAGCCGGGATCCTCGCGCCCAGCTGATCATTGACGTTGAGGTCCTCGTTTACCAGTGCGGCGAGACACATCCGATGGCTCAGAAGGTCCATCGGAAAACACTTGCCCGGGGCACTGGTAGAGCGATTGAAGGTTAGCAATTTTGTCCCTCATCTTACAAGAGATGTGCGCCCTACCCTAGGATAAAGAAGGCAGTACCTAACCGTTTGGTTGCGTTGAGTGTCGTCGAAACAACACAGACAGGGTTTCTCCCATGTATGGCATGAAATTCCTGCCTCACGGGGAAGATAATACAATCTGGATGTCGCGCCAGTCAAGGTCCTTTTTACAAACCTAACACGACATTTAAGATGTTCTTAAAGCCAAGCTTCATGCCCAACATGCTGCGCTTTTTGTATTAAGGCGTTCCACGCCTGCAGCTACGAGCTTTTTTCTTGCTTAGCATCACCACTATGCCTACAATGCTCTGGAAAGTCATCCAGACAAAGGTCTTCTTCATCGCGAAACATTCTAGCGCTGCTGTCGAGTCCCTGAAACGAAATCGCATTGAATAATGGTATTCGATGATGTAGACTTGTCTCGCCTGACAGGTCATTCACAAGCCTTCCTGGTAATACCCAATACTTGTATTTAAAGGCTAGAAGTAGCACGTTGCCGTCTAGAGCCTCCTGCGTGGTACCAACGGAAGTCTTGGTACCACTGGAGCCGTCATCACGACGGTGTAATTCGTCACCACATTTACTAGATAGCGAACGCGCAGTAGCGGGCACGGGAAAGGAGTCAGCATGCACACCCTCCTTACTAAACAGACTCTGGTAGTGACCATGAGTCTGACTACCCGGTCGAGTTCTATTACTAGGCTCATATTCAGCCGCCCCTATAGACTTAAGCGACCTTGGCGCCTTCTTCGAGAAGAAACTACCGTACGACTCCCCCAAATAGATGATCCCCATTGGGGAAGGATCATTATAGTACGCGGTGGCTCGCCACGTGCCTCTGCAGAAACCGGTGCTGCAGGAAGAGTTGCAGCAGCAGACAAAGCAACGTATACCGCGAGAGGCTGAACATCTCCAAAGCAGCTGAGTAAACACGCGCAGATTCCTTCTCAGCAGCTATCACCGCGCATCGCATGGAGTTTTCCACCATGCGATGAAAATCCAATTATGAATGGATCAGACCAAAACAAGTCCCCCTCGTCCCTGGTGTGGTCTACTACTAGTGACCACATTGACATGATAGTGTGTGAGTATAAATTGTTGCGGGTGTAACGGCTGAACTTGTAACATGTTAGTAACCCTTGATACTTGTTGATTAGAATATGATCATAAAGGTTGGGAATGTTCGTGCATAGTACCATGAGGGGTAATATTTAGAATCACTCATGGATTGGTTGATATGGGTCATTATATCAACCAGCTCTTGCGGTATAATCAACGATGGACGCGCGCAATGAGTGGTGAGCAAGAGGTGAGGAAGCATTTTTTGTGAGATACGTATACTAAAGTGAGGACCAAACCACAAAGATTGATGATCAGGACTTAATTACATTCAATACAGGTTTACTTGTACCAGCAACTAGTCAGTTCCTAGTTGCTTTCCCTTCCTCTGCCAAGCTCACAGAGGTCGCGAGGCACCAGTCACGCTGCTGTCAGTGATAGTAGCTCCACACTGGTTGTACATTGTGTTGCTCCGGTGCCCCGTTACACTTGGTGCAACTTGCCTGGAACGGCTGACTACAATTTAAATTCAGCTGGGAACCCCTTTTGTCCGATTTTCATCGTCAGTCTCGAACCATCCGGAAGTCTACTGGTAGCTCCTCAGGATAGTGTTACAATGGAATGAGGTGCTGACAGAGTCGACTAAAGAATGGAAGAGCTGCTAGTATGGAGAAGTCGGTCACTTTGTTGTGGAGGTATCTGTTGGTGAAGTTTAGGCAAGTTTCGAAGGTAACTGAGTAGTCAATCCCGAGCCGAGATTGTAAATTTGTCGTGACTTTCCAGGTACAAAGAGGTTGGACCTCTACCTACTCGCTGTTCGCATTTCAATAAAGATAGGTCTTCTTTAAAAGCCATGGTAAAGATCCGCGATAAAGATCCGCGAACTGGAAAAGTAATTACAGTCCTCCCTCTGCTAACTTCTTTTCTCGATGGAGACACTTTGTGATGATTTATCATAGGCAATCAGCTAAGGATTATGGCGTCATAGAAGTGTGCGCAGTCAGCTTCATCTATAACATCCCCTGATATATCATCCTTTGGATACAGCATCCTCCCCTTATAAATCCTAATTGGGGGAGGTGGACAAACCGGGATGTTATAGAGGGAGCTGACTGAAAATAGTCATTAATGGATCAAAACCGTGAAAACCTCAACCAGAATTACCCACTCCGCTACCACCATAAATTAGAATTCATCAAAAACCTAAAATTAACTTTTTTGTAACCGCAATACTGGCACCAACCGGATGCAACCATTGCGAAACCGGCACCTGTCGCAAAACCAGCACCACTTTGTGACGTAATGTGTAACACTCTAAATCTCAACATGCCTTTATCCTTGCATTCCTTAATACTCGCAGTAGGCACACAGGACGGTCCGCTCCCTCCCCGCTCTCAAGAGCACCCACCTTCGGCGGAGATCTTCCCTCACTCGAACTTAAACTGTGTAGGAGCATATCTTTGGCAGGACTCTTGCGCGGTCGCGGTATATGGGGGAGGGAGGACGAGAGAAGACAAAGTACCGAAATTGACGGTTTAAGTCGTTAATCTGTTGTATAAGTTTAATTTTAACATGTGCAAACCGTTATGTGTGACTGTACGGCTTTCGTGAATGACTGAACCTCAAGATCATAGAATACTCAAATCAAATAAATTAAAGCCGACGGTACCACAAGTATGAGACCTTACTGATATGCTAAGCCATCGGTGCTGTTCTTTTTTGGAATGATTGACGTGTGTGTAAAGAAAGAATATAATTTACATCGTGTATTTGCTCATGCCGACTACTTTTTCTTCGTTTCATGGTGAAAGGAGCTACCGCTGGCCACGTGCCTCTTCACACTAAGATGCTTCGATGGTCGTGCGAGTGCGTTCGACAGGCCTTGGAAGAGGTGTAACGGATTCACACGGCGGTTACACGGCGCTTATTGAACCGGTTGTGTTATGTGTCCACACCAAGTGAAGATCGGTGGATCGGAGTGGTAAAGTCTTGGTGCCACGTACTTACGGTAATACCGCACCTTATCGGGCAAGGATAAGGGATCAGACTTCTGTCACAGAATCGCAATGTAGAAGTCAGTCATAAAAGGGTCGGTGGTTTTATTAACGTTGTTAAAGAATAAACTAACAGCACTTACTCAATAGCACGCAAAAAATGGAACTGAAAATAAAATATGTTAAATCACTTAGATTTCTACATTTTTCTTCATGTCTTAATTTCCTAGAAACTTATTCCAATTATCCAATTCCTTTAGAATATTCCTAATGATTTTATTTAATCACATTCCAACAGAAAAGAAGTGGTGTCCTTTAAGTTGATTCAGTTCCCCTTTTGAACCGTTGGTCACAAGTGCCTAGTCAAGGCGTAGTGTGTTGTTTAGAGCATTTGACTTGTCAAAGCGTTTCCTCTTGTTTAACAAGTAATCTCTAGTTAGTGTGTGATTCTGTGAATCGTATTCCCATCAGGAACCAAGATTGTTAAGCTTGTACGCTTGAACGACTGTACGTCTTTGTAAGTTTGTTATTACTAAGAGACTCTTTGAGTCAAAGACTTCCTCCGTTACGGAGCGCTAAGTAGCTCCGCTACAGAATACCTGCACCTTCCCAACCATTTACTTTCATAAATATGACTCTCTGCGCTTCTTCGCCAGTAACAACATAGAATCCGACGGTCACTATCAATAACATTGTACGTACACTGTAATGGGGTGAATCGTTACACAACAATTTATAAGAAATTGATAATAGAATATAACTATAAGAGTTATATTCTCAGAATATTGTCATAAGGACAAATATTCTGCAGCACTTACGAGTAGTTACTAATTGGTTGATATAGGTCATCATATCAACCAACGAAGACGCAGCACGACAGACGCACGCATTGAGTGGTGAGCAGATAGTTGATATGCACATTTGCATTCAGATATAGTCAGATGAGGATAAACAGTGGTTTATTAACAGACATTAACTATTATAAATACAGTTCTACTTTTTACTTTAACCAAGTACTCGCTTCTTCTTACCGTCTTCCTCTGCACGTACGAGTGTACGTGAAGTTCCGAGGCACCGCCGTATTCTGTCATCAGAATAAGTAGCTTGTACTGTCACCAGTACAAGCTTCAGGGTGCCCCGTTACATCTGGTAGCACTTCGTAGTCCGTCCAAGGACCACGTTCACATCCAACATGAATATGTTAGATGATGAAGATGACCAAAGCTTTCACGCTACGCGTGACGGCTACTCCCATTTGAGCGATGTCGAATGGGATGCGGTTCAACGGATGGGTTCAACCATGGGCATCCATGCTGTTAGCGTCATGCTAGAGGCTCTCAGTAGAGATGCCCAATATGCTACTATCGCCAAGTTCATTCAAAATGAACTTGACGCTGAACGCGAGAAAGTAGCCTTGCTTCACCAACAAGGTTCTCAACAAGCAGAGTTGTTGAGAGAACAAGGTGCTCAACAGTTTGAACTGTTGAGACAGCAGCAGGCTGCTGCTGGTGGGTCGACGCGAGTGCATCGACCCGAAACCTTGAAGATTGACATCTCCAAGTATAGGGGAGTCGAAGAGGACTCCCTCTTGAGATGGTTCGTCGAATTGAATGACGCCATAAGGGCGCGTCGCATCGACGACGGGGATATGCAAGTTGCATTTGCCCAGTCAAATCTGGCAGGACGTGCCAAGACTTGGGCACTGGGGCTCAAGTTTCACGACCCATACGCGTTTGGGTCGTTGGAAGTCTTCAAGTCGCGGCTCCGACAAGTGTTGAACCGCCTAGAGCTGAGTTCAGAGCTCGAACCGAACTCTTGAAGCTCAAGCAGGGTAAGTGTGATGTGCACGCTTACGCGCAACATATACGACATCTTACGAGTTGTATAAGTTCCAATCCGGTGGATGAACACACGTTGGTTTCGGAGTTCATGCAGGGTCTTGCGGATGGTCCCGTCAAGACTCACCTGTTCCGACTTGAACTAGATTCACTAGAACAAGCAATTTCCATTGCGGAACAGGAAGACTTCAATCTGAGACAGGCTCGCGCCAGCTCGACATCATATCGTCAACCGAGACGAAATGACAACTGAGGTTCAGAACCGATGGAACTCTGTTTTGTAGAGAGCGAGAAGGCTCGCTCTACAGACTACAAAAAGCTGCAGAAATGCAACAGATGTCAGAAGACAGGACACTACGCTTACGAGTGTAGTGCCCCTCGTCCAGTGTCTCGCAACACTGGGCGTAGTGACCGTCCACCCATGAGAAAGGGGTAGGGACGAGGGTCCGCTGTTGGTGCAAAGACGCAACAACGGGATGGACCGTCAAAAAACGGACAGGATCAGTAGGTGCGGAGCACCCTACTGGTCCAGCAACGTCAAGATAATTTGTAGGCCTCTTGATGAAGGTTGCTCCCAACACACAGACGTCGTGCGTTGCTGCTCTAGGTAATGAGGTCTCACTCATTACTTTGAAACTCGAAGAGACAAATAAATTGTCCCTTCGAGCTCTAGTCGATTGTGGGGCGTCCAACAATTTTGTGCGACGCCAATCGCTAGAAGATGGTCACTTTAATTTCAGTGAATGTGACACACCTCCTACGAGGATGACGGTACGTCTTGCGACAGGCGCATCCGTAACCGTCATGAAGCGTATAGTGAAGATCCACTATACGCTAGAAGATACCCAATATGACGATGACTTTATCGTATTGGATTTGGATGACAAATTTGATGTCATCCTTGGAATACCGTGGCTCAGAAGGTACGAACCACGAGTAAACTGGCAACATCGAACAGTAACGATGCCTGCCGCTTGTTCATCCGATGGCCATCTGATGAACGTTTTGGAGCGTCTACAAGCGTGTGGATGTACTACGAGTGAGTGCGATGGCCTCACTTGTGGTACGGTCGTTAGTACGACTGCACAAAACCTTAGTGTACCAAACGGTTACACTTCGGAGCAAAGTTCCGGCGGCTGTGAGGAAACACAGGCTGCGCCGAAGGTCCACCACTCGAATAAGTCGAGTGGACTGGGGCAAAGATGTATCCCTAGCGGGGAACATCTAGAAGAGAAACAATCGATCGCTCAGGTTAAGCGAAACGATAATCCTAGATCTACTGGAGAGTCTTTCGTAGAGGATCTCGCTGTGGTTGCGCAAACCTAGCTAGAGGAAGTAAAGGGAATAAGTCCCAATATAACAAATACGGCGGAGATAAGTTCCCCGAAACCCGCGGGAATAAGTCCCCGGGAAGCCGAAGGAATAAGTCCTTCGAGGCCTGAGGGAATAAGTCCCCAGGAAATGACGGAGACGTTGATGTCATAGTCAATAACGGATCAAGTGTAGGCGCTTATACACTTGATCTGATTGCGCCTCCGAAGTTTACTTCGGAGATCACTCAGTTGCCAACGCTCGAACACAAAAGGTTCTTGCGTGATCTGCGTAGTGGCAAAGTCAAGCAGATCTGCGTACTCGTCGCTGACGACGAGTGTGTAGCCGACATAAGGTCAGCAACAGTGTTTACTGAGAACGAGAGAGTTCTCAGTAGTTCATCTATGGACGAGAGTGTCCTAGATGAAAAGACACGAATTGAGCGACATGATTCCCAATCGTGGGACTCGCTCAAGACAAATCCTCTCTATGAAGATTTGGTTGAATTCAAGGATGTATTCCCTGAAACTGTTCCGTGCGAATTACCGAAGTATAAAGGTATTCGACACGAGTTCGAGCTTAAACCAGGCTCGAAGTACTGTGTCATGAAGCAGTGGCCACTGCCTCGTGAACAAGTACTTGCGATCGACAAGTTCTTTGCCGATCGTTTAGCTGCGGGCCATGTGAGGGAATCAACTTCCCCACATAGCTCTCCGACCTTCTGTGTGCGAAAAGCAACAGGAGGGTGGCGGATAGTGCATGCATTTAACAAGTTGAATGCTGCAACGGTACCGGCTCAGACGCCAATACCAAGGAAGGACGTAATCATTGATGGTATGTCAAAGAGTACCATCTTTTCGTCCATGGATTTGATGGATGGCTTCTATCAAATCCTTATGCGAGAACGGGATATACCCTATACCGCAGTTAGCACGCCTAGCGGCATGCTCTGGGAATGGCTAGTAATGCCACAAGGGCTTAGTAATGCCCCTGCCACGTTCAACAGATGTGTATCACATCTGTTGAGACCAGTACGAGAATTCGCGCCGAGTTATTTCGATGACGTATTCATCCATAGTCGGGCTATGGATGGAAAGTCGGATGTTGAGGTTCACAGGTACCACGTCCGACAGGTTCTTACAATCATGCAAAAGCATCAATTGTATGCTAATCTCAAGAAGTGTATATTTGCGGCAAGCGAAATACCACTTCTTGGGTGCATCGTTGGTAAGAACGGTGTACGTCCTGATCCCGAAAAGATCAAGGCGATCACCGACTGGCCTGTGCCGGTTGATGTCAAAGGTCTTCGAAAATTCCTTGGGCTAGCGGCGTATTTGCATAAGTATTCACGCAATTACGCCGAGATGACTGTACACCTCTCTCGTTTGTTGAAAAAGAACGAGATGTGGTCATGGAACGCTGAATGTCAGCGCTCCTTTGATGGTATCAAGCAGAGCTTGATACAATCCCCAGTCCTAGCAATATACGATCAGGACAGGCCATTTCATGTGGTCTGTGATGCCAGCAATTTCGCAATCGGCTGTGCATTAATGCAGTACGATCTTGAAGGCGTTGAACGCGTCGTCTGCTATCAGTCGCGTCAGCTGCAACCAGCTCAGCGGAACTATCCAGTGCATGACAAGGAACTCCTTGCCATGAAGTATGCACTCGCGAAGTTCAGAGTCTATCTATTAGGAGATAGACCCTTCAATTTTTACACTGACCATGCGTCATTACGCACGGCAGTGAACAGCCCGCACCTTTCACAACGAATGGCGCGGTGGTTGTCCAACTTTGCAGAATACAACTTTACGGTCGAGTACAAACCAGGACGACTTAATGTCGTCGCTGATGCACTCTCACGTCGTCCTGACTTTGAACCAGTCGTGAAACCCAACAGTGAGACAGTCACTGTTGTGGTTATGACGTCCTCAGTCCCATCTACAACGTTGTATGATGATGTGAGGCGGGCATACGCCCAAGATGGTGAGATTGTGAAGTTGTTGACACATCTCTCACAGCCATCTCGAGAATCGTTGAAACGATTATCGTCTGCGTATCGATCTGCATCAGATCGATACACTACTCGCAACGGTTTACTGTATTATACAGCCATTTCTGGTGACACACCACGTGTTGTCATTCCAGATGATACTTATCTGCGTTTGCGGATCATGTTCGAGTATCACGATGCTCCTATAGGAGGACATCGTGGCCGGGAGAAAACATATCTCACGGTGAGTCGAGACTTTTACTGGCCCCGCCAGTATCAGTTTTTGCGAAAGTATGTTCGCGCATGCGAAGTCTGCCAACGAGTGAAGTCAAGTCCTTCACTCCGTGCACCTTTACAGCCTCTACCGGTTCCGGCTGAGTGCTGGGAATCCATCTCAATGGATTTTGTCTTCGGGTTACCCAAAGACGCACGCGGGAATACAAGTATTCTTGTCTTTGTTGACAGATTCAGCAAAATGGTACACCTTGTGGCTGTACCAGAGACAATCACGGCAAGTGGCTGTGCTTGTATCTTTATCGACACCATCTTCCGACTTCATGGGTTGCCCCGTGAACTCGTATCAGACAGAGATCCACGCTTCACAGCTGATTTCTGGCGTTCCGTGTTCAAATCACTCGGAACGCGCTTGAGGATGTCGATATCTGATCATCCAGAGTCAGATGGTCAGACGGAACATGCCAATCGTGTCCTCGAAGAGATACTTCGAGGATACGTACACTCCTTTAAGAGTTGGAGTGAGTTTTTGCTGATGGTAGATTTTGCCATTAACAACTCGGTGCATGCGTCCACGACACATACACCGTTTTACGTGAATGGCTTACGCCATCCGCGTGTACCCACCTTACTAGAGTGTAACTCTGGTTTAAGGGGGGGAGGGACTCGCGCGAGCAAAAACCGATTTGGTTCACGCTCATCACGCTCTGCCGAAGAGGTCATTGCGTTTGATGCCGATATCGATAACATCGATATCGAAGAAGATGATGCCAGTGAGAGTGCGGAAGCCCTCACTGAAGAAAAGGTTGATGTTGCTGCAGTGCAATCACAGCGCACTGAAGCTAACGAGTCATCAGATGAGTTCATACTGGCTCGTGAAACGGTAGTCCGTTTTGTGCAAGATTCCATCGCCGAAGCGGTGGATAAGCAAACGCAAAACGCAGACAAGAATGGAAGGGCAAACACTCTTTTATTTAATAAAGGTGACTTAGTCCTACTGTCGACGGTTAACCTACCGAAGCATGTAGTGACTAACTTGGGTAGTAGTAAACTTCTACCCAAGTACATCGGCCCATTACGTGTATTGCAATGCCTAGGCAATGCAAACACAATCGAGTTGCCACGTAAGATGCGAACGCATCCCACGTTTTACGTTGGTCGGCTTAAGCCGTACCATCAGTACGCTGCTTCTTCCGATGAAGAACGCCCTTTCGCTCAAGCATCTCGCAGAGAGCCTTGTGCTCCCGATGGTGGGCATCGACAAGGGTCTGAAGAGCAGCTATCTCATCCCGAGACCGATCAACAATCCCGCGAGCTACCCTTAGCTCGTCACGAAGAGATGTCAGAGATCTCTCGTTCTCAAGCTGAGCAAAGGCAAACTCAGCTCGATGCTTCGAGACAGTGTCCGCCATTTGGAGACGCCTGTCTTGCTCATGTTCGATATCGCCGCGTAACCCTTGCGTTACGCGATCAAAGAAGTTCTCGGGAACACACGCTTCCCCACGATTGTGTGGAGAGCATTTTCCCTCCTCCTCCACCTCCATTAGAGGACTCTCGCGGTGGCCAGCGCTATCTGGTTGAGCAGCTGTTGAACCACCGCGACGTGAACGGACGTCGGACGAGTTTTATCGTCCGGTAGCGCGGCTATCCCCCGTCCTGGGATACTTGGGAGCCCCGCTCCCAACTGATGATTGACGTACTGGGTTTGGTTGAGCAGTACGACGCGGCACATCCTGTGCCGCAGAAGGACCGCTTGAGAAAGTATTTCCGGCACAGTCGTAAAGGGATTTCAGGTTGTCAATCCCTTCGTACATCTCACTAGAGATACGTACGCGCCACCACGGGCTATTAGAGAGGTAAGCCTCCTAAGGTGCTCGTGCAGAGTTGTTCACACAACATGAGCACGAGTATCCCCATGAGAGGCCGGGTAATCCTTTCTCCCTTGACAGACGATGCAGCTTGTAGCGTGCACCTGTAGGGGTTCGCTTTTCAAACTTATCACGAGCTTTGATAAGTTTGTCGTTCCAAACGTCACGACCTCATCCTCAAGGTTATGGATGTAAGCGTTCCACGCTTGAAGCAGTGAGGGACCATCACGTTTGTGATTCCCACTGTACCATCGATGTTTAAAGAAAGCATCGATGGAGAAATCGTTCTCAGCGCGATAGTTTTTCGCGCTGGGGTCAAGGTGATGGATCCTTGACGAATCGAACAATCGTGTTCGATAACGATCACTCGTCGTCGCCGACAAGTGATCCATGACAGATTTGGAAGGCATCCATGCCTTCTTCTCGGGAGCGAGACGCAAGACATTGCGGTCCCGCTCTTCCTGCGACGTGCCGACAGAAGTACTGGCACCTCGCTGTGAAGTGGTGTCAATACGAGAACCGACACCACTGTTAGCGCCCGAGTCTCGCGACCTCGAGCGCCTTCGCTTCGGCGATGGTTCATCTGATTCATCAGATGAACCAAAGATGCTGCGACGCATAGCATCATCGATGCCACGCTTGGCAGGCGGCTTGGATTCGATCGCCGTCGATACGGATCCGTCTTCCGTATCAGGAGAGTATGAGACACCGAGCTCATACTCTGTGAAGACATGAGTGTCTTCATGACCAGAGCCTGCATCACCAAATGACACAGGCTGAGTCGCTATAGCAACCGATGAGACATCAGTTGCTGTGGTTTCTGCTTCGGCGTCCGCACAGAGACGTGCGGACGCGCTCTCGGCGGCCTTGCTCGCGCACCGCATGGGCTTGTCAACCATGCGATGAGATGTTGGAAAGTGGACTCGGACCAACAAGTGCAAACCCTATCCCAACTGATTTGGGACGAGTATCCATTTAGTCAATCAGTCACTAGAGTGACTGATGGTTAAGGGGGGGTGTTGTAACGGGGTGAATCGTTACATAACAATTTATAAGAAATTGTTAATAGAATATAACTATAAGAGTTATATTCTCAGAATATTGTCATAAGGACAAATATTCTGCAGCACTTTCGAGTAGTTCCTAATTGGTTGATAAAGGCCATTATATCAACCAACGAAGACGCGCCACGACAGACGCACGCATTGTATAACGGGGCGCCCCTGGAGGCTTGTACTGGTGACAGTACAAGCTACTTATTCTGATGACAGAATAAGGCGGTGCCTCGGAACTTCACGTACACTCGTACGTGCAGAGGAAGACGGTAAGAAGAAGCGAGTACTTGGTTAAAGTAAAAAGTAGAACTGTATTTATAATAGTTAATGTCTGCAATAAATCACTATTTATCTTCATCTAACTATGTCTGAATACAAATGTGTAAATCACTTATCTGCTCACCACTCATTGCGTGCGTCTGTCGTGGCGCGTCTTCGTTGGTTGATATAATGGCCTATATCAACCAATTAGGAACTACTCGTAAGTGCTGCAGAATATTTGTCCTTATGACAATATTCTGAGAATATAACTCTTATAGTTATATTCTATTAACAATTTCTTATAAATTGTTATGTAACGATTCACCCCGTTACAACACCCCCCACTTAAGCATCAGTCACTTTAGTGACTGATTGAATAAATGGATACTCGTCCCAAATCAGTTGGGATAGGGTTTGCACTTGTTGGTCCGAGTCCACTTTCCAACATCTCATCGCATGGTTAACAAGCCCATGCGATGCGCGAGCAAGGCCGCCGAGAGCGCGTCCGCACGTCTCTGTGCGGACGCCGAAGCAGAAACCACAGCAACTGATGTCTCATCGGTTGCTATAGCGACTCAGCCTGTGTCACTTGGTGATGCAGGCTCTGGTCATGAAGACACTCATGTCTTCACAGAGTATGAGCTCGGTGTCTCATACTCTCCTGATACGGAAGACGGATCCGTATCGACGGCGATCGAATTCAAGCCGCCTGCCAAGCGTGGTATCGATGATGCTATGCGTCGCAGCATCTTTGGTTCATCTGATGAATCAGATGAACCATCGCCGAAGCGAAGGCGCTCGAGGTCGCGAGACTCGGGCGCTAACAGTGGTGTCGGTTCTCCTATGGACACCACTTCACAGCGAGGTGCCAGTACTTCTGTCGGCACATCGCAGGAAGAGCGGGACCGCAATGTCTTGCGTCTCGCTCCTGAGAAGAAGGCATGGATGCCTTCCAAATCTGTCATGGATCACTTGTCGGCGACGACGAGTGATCGTTATCGAACACGATTGTTCGATTCGTCAAGGATCCATCACCTTGACCCCAGCGCGAAAAACTATCGCGCTGAGAACGATTTCTTCATCGATGCTTTCTTTAGACATCGATGGTACAGTGGGAATCACAAACGTGATGGTCCCTCACTACTTCAGGCGTGGAACGCTTACATCCATAACCTTGAGGATGAGGTCGTGACGTTTGGAACGACAAACTTATCAAAGCTCGTGATAAGTTTGAAAAGCGAACCCCTACAGGTGCACGCTACAAGCTGCATCGTCTGTCTAGGGAGAAAGGATTACCCGGCCTCTCATGGGGATACTCGTGCTCATGTTGTGTGAACAACTCTGCACGAGCACCTTAGGAGGCTTACCTCTCTAATAGCCCGTGGTGGCGCGTACGTATCTCTAGTGAGATGTACGAAGGGATTGACAACCTGAAATCCCTTTACGACCGTGCCGGAAAGACTTTCTCAAGCGGTCCTTCTGCGGCACAGGATGTGCCGCGTCGTACTGCTCAACCAAACCCAGTACGTCAATCATCAGTTGGGAGCGGGGCTCCCAAGTATCCCAGGACGGGGGATAGCCGCGCCACCGGACGATATAACTCGTCCGACGTCCGTTCACGTCGCGGTGGTTCAACAGCTGCTCAACCAGATAGCGCTGGCCACCGCGAGAGTCCTCTAATGGAGGTGGAGGAGGAGGGAAAATGCTCTCCACACGATCATGGGGATCCGTGTGTTCCCGAGAACTCTTTGATCGCGTAACGCAAGGGTTACGCGGCGATATCGAACATGAGCAGGACAGGCGTCTCCAACTGGCGGACACTGTCTCGAAGCATCGAGCTGAGTTTGCCTTTGCTCAGCTTGAGAACGAGAGATCTCTGACATCTCTTCGTGACGAGCTAAGGGTAGCTCGTGGGATTGTTGATCGGTCTCGGGATGATATAGCTGCTCTTCAGACCCTTGTCGATGCCCACCATCGGGAGCACAAGGCTCTCTGCGAGATGCTTGAGCGAAAGGGCGTTCTTCATCGGAAGAAGCAGCGTACTGATGGTACGGCTTAAGCCGACCAACGTAAAACGTGGGATGCGTTCGCATCTTACGTGGCAACTCGATCGTGTATGCATTGCCTAGGCGATGCAATACACGTAATGGGCCGATGTACTTGGGTAGAAGTTTACTGCTACCCAAGTTAGTCACTACATGCTTTGGTAGGTTAACCGTAGACAGTAGGACTAAGTCACCTTTATTAAATAAAAGAGTGTTTGCCCTTCCATTCTTGTCAGCGTTTTGCTTTTGCTTATCCACCGCTTCGGCGATGGAATCTTGCACAAAACGGACTACCGTTTCACGAGCCAGTATGAACTCATCTGATGACTCGTTAGCTTCGGTGCGCTGTGATTGCACTGCAGCAACATCAACCTTTTCTTCAGTGAGGGCTTCCGCACTCTCACTGGCATCATCTTCTTCGATATCGATGTTATCGATATCGGCATCAAACGCAATGACCTCTTCGGCAGAGCGTGATGAGCGTGAACCAAATCGGTTTTTGCTCGCGCGAGTCCCTCCCCCCCTTAAACCAGAGTTACACTCTAGTAAGGTGGGTACACGCGGATGGCGTAAGCCATTCACGTAAAACGGTGTATGTGTCGTGGACGCATGCACCGAGTTGTTGATGGCAAACTCTACCATCAGCAATAACTCACTCCAACTCTTAAAGGAGTGTACGTATCCTCGAAGTATCTCTTCGAGGACACGATTGGCACGTTCCGTCTGACCATCGGACTCTGGATGATCAGATGTAGACATCCTCAAGCGCGTTCCGAGTGATTTGAACACGGAACGCCAGAAATCAGCTGTGAAGCGTGGATCTCTGTCTGATAAGAGTTCACGGGGCAACCCATGAAGTCGGAAGATGGTGTCGATAAAGACACAAGCACAGCCACTTGCCGTGATTGTCTCTGGTACAGCCACAAGGTGTACCATTTTGCTGAATCTGTCAACAAAGACGAGAATACTTGTATTCCCGCGTGCGTCTTTGGGTAACCCGAAGACGAAATCCATTGAGATGGATTCCCAGCACTCAGCCGGAACCGGTAGAGGCTGTAAAGGTGCACGGAGTAAAGGACTTGACTTCACTCGTTGGCAGACTTCGCATGCGCGAACGTACTTGCGCACAAACTGATACTGGCGGGGCCAGTAAAAGTCTCGACTCACCGTGAGATATGTTTTCTCCCGGCCACGATGTCCTCCTATAGGAGCATCGTGATACTCGAACATGATCCGCAAACGCAGATCAGTATCATCTGGAATGACAACACGTGGTGTGTCACCAGAAATGGCTGTATAATACAGTAAACCGTTGCGAGTAGTGTATCGATCTGATGCAGATCGATACGCAGACGATAATCGTTTCAACGATTCTCGAGATGGCTGTGAGAGATGTGTCAACAACTCCACAATCTCACCATCTTGGGCGTATGCCCGCCTCACATCATCATACAACGTTGTAGATAGGACTGAGGACGTCATAACCACAACAGTGACTGTCTCACTGTTGGGTTTCACGACTGGTTCAAAGTCAGGACGACGTGAGAGTGCATCAGCGACGACATTAAGTCGTCCTGGTTTGTACTCGACCGTAAAGTTGTATTCTGCAAAGTTGGACAACCACCGCGCCATTCGTTGTGAAAGGTGCGGGCTGTTCACTGCCGTGCGTAATGACGCATGGTCAGTGTAAACAATGAAGGGTCTATCTCCTAATAGATAGACTCTGAACTTCGCGAGTGCATGGCAAGGAGTTCCTTGTCATGCACTGGATAGTTCCGCTCAGCTGGTTGCAGCTGACGCGACTGATAGCAGACGACGCGTTCAACGCCTTCAAGATCGTACTGCATTAATGCACAGCCGATTGCGAAATTGCTGGCATCACAGACCACATGAAATGGCCTGTCCTGATCGTATATTGCTAGGACTGGGGATTGTATCAAGCTCTGCTTGATACCATCAAAGGAGCGCTGACATTCAGCGTTCCATGACCACATCTCGTTCTTTTTCAACAAACGAGAGAGGTGTACAGTCATCTCGGCGTAATTGCGTGAATACTTATGCAAATACGCCGCTAGCCCAAGGAATTTTCGAAGACCTTTGACATCAACCGGCACAGGCCAGTCGGTGATCGCCTTGATCTTTTCGGGATCAGGACGTACACCGTTCTTACCAACGATGCACCCAAGAAGTGGTATTTCGCTTGCGGCAAATATACACTTCTTGAGGTTTGCATACAATTGATGCTTTCGCATGATTGTAAGAACCTGTCGGACGTGGTACCTGTGAACCTCAACGTCCGACTTTCCATCCATAGCTCGACTATGGATGAATACGTCATCGAAATAACTCGGCGCGAATTCTCGTACTGGTCTCAACAGATGTGATACACATCTGTTGAACGTGGCAGGGGCATTACTAAGCCCTTGTGGCATTACTAGCCATTCCCAGAGCATGCCGCTAGGCGTGCTAACTGCGGTATAGGGTATATCCCGTTCTCGCATAAGGATTTGATAGAAGCCATCCATCAAATCCATGGACGAAAAGATGGTACTCTTTGACATACCATCAATGATTACGTCCTTCCTTGGTATTGGCGTCTGAGCCGGTACCGTTGCAGCATTCAACTTGTTAAATGCATGCACTATCCGCCACCCTCCTGTTGCTTTTCGCACACAGAAGGTCGGAGAGCTATGTGGGGAAGTTGATTCCCTCACATGGCCCGCAGCTAAACGATCGGCAAAGAACTTGTCGATCGCAAGTACTTGTTCACGAGGCAGTGGCCACTGCTTCATGACACAGTACTTCGAGCCTGGTTTAAGCTCGACCTCGTGTCGAATACCTTTATCCTTCGGTAATTCGCACGGAACAGTTTCAGGGAATACATCCTTGAATTCAACCAAATCTTCATAGAGAGGATTTGTCTTGAGCGATTCCCATGATTGGGAGTCATATCGCTCAATTCGTGTCTTTTCATCTAGGACACTCTCGTCCATAGATGAACTACTGAGAACTCTCTCGTTCTCAGTGAACACTGTTGCTGACCTTATGTCGGTTACACACTCGTCGTCAGCGACGAGTATGCAGATCTGCTTGACTTTGCCACTACGCAGATCACGCAAGAATCTTTTATGTTCGAGCGTTGGCAACTGAGTGATCTCCGAAGTCAACTTCGGAGGCGCAATCAGATCAAGTGTATAAGCGCCTACACATGATCCTTTATTGACTATGACATTCAACGTCTCCGTCATTTCCTGGGGACTTATTCCCTCAGGCCTCGAAGGACTTATTCCTTCGGCTTCCCGGGGACTTATTCCCGCGGGTTTCGGGGAACTCATTTCCGCCGTATTTGTTATATTGGGACTTATTCCCTTTACTTCCTCTAGCTGGGTTTGCGCAACCACAGCGAGATCCTCTACGAAAGACTCTCCAGTAGATCTAGGATTATCGTTTCGCTTAACCTGAGCGATCGATTGTTTCTCTTCTAGATGTTCCCCGCTAGGGATACATCTTTGCCCCAGTCCACTCGACTTATTCGAGTGGTGGACCTTCGGCGCAGCCTGTGTTTCCTCACAGCCGCCGGAACTTTGCTCCGAAGTGTAACCGTTTGGTACACTAAGGTTTTGTGCAGTCGTACTAACGACCGTACCACAAGTGAGGCCATCGCACTCACTCGTAGTACATCCACACGCTTGTGGACGCTCCAAAACGTTCATCCGATGGTCATCTGATGAACAAGCGGCAGGCATCGTTACTGTTCGATGTTTCCAGTTTACTCGTGGTTCGTACCTTCTGAGCCACGGTATTCCAAGGATGACATCAAATTTGTCATCCAAATCCAATACGATAAAGTCATCATCATATTGGGTATCTTCTAGCGTATAGTGGATCTTCACTATACGCTTCATGACGGTTACGGATGCGCCTGTCGCAAGACGTACCGTCATCCTCGTAGGAGGTGTGTCACATTCACTGAACTTAAAGTGACCATCTTCTAGCGATTGGCGTCGCACAAAATTGTTGAACGCCCCACAATCGACTAGAGCTCGAAGGGACAACTTATTCGTCACTTCAAATTTCAAGGTAATGAGTGAGATCTCATTACCTAGAGCAGCAAAGCACGACGTTTGTGTGTTGGGAGCAACCTTCATCAAGAGGCCTACAAATTCTCTTGACGTTGCTGGACCAGTAGGGTGCTTCGCACCTACTGATCCTGTCCGTTTTTTGACGGTCCATCCCGTTGTTGCGTCTTTGCACCAACAGCGGACCCTCGTCCCTGCCCCTTTCTCATGGGTGGACGGTCACTACGCCCAGTGTCGCGAGACACTGGACGAGGGGCACTACACTTGTAAGCGTAGTGTCCTGTCTTTTGACATCTGTTGCATCTCTGCAACTTCTTGTAGCCTGTAGAGCGAGCCTTCTCGCTCTCTACATAACAGAGTTCCATCGGCTCTGGACCTCCGTTGTCATATCGTCTCGGTTGACGATATGATGTCGAGCTGGCGCGAGCCTGTCTCAGACTGAAGTCTTCCTGCTCCGCAATGGAAATGGCTTGTTCTAGTGAATCTAGTTCAAGCCGGAACAGGTGAGTCTTGACGGGACCATCCGCAAGACCCTGCATGAACACCGAAACCAACGTGTGTTCATCCACCGGATTGGAACTTATACAACTCGTGAGATGTCGTATATGCTGCGCGTAAGCGTGCACATCACGCTTACCCTGCTTGAGCTTCAAGAGTTCGGTTCGAGCTCTGAACTCAGCTCTAGGCGGTTCAAACGTTTGTCTGAGCCGCGACTTGAAGACTTCCAACGACCCAAACGCATATGGGTCGTGCAACTTGAGCCCCAGTGCCCAAGTCTTGGCACGTCCTGCCAGATTTGACTGGGCAAATGCAACTTGCATATCCCCGTCGTCGATGCGACGCGCCCTTATGGCGTCATCCAATTCGACGAACCATCTCAAGAGGGAGTCCTCTTCGACTCCCCTATACTTGGAGATGTCAATCTTCAAGGTCTCGGGTCGACGCGAGTGCATCGACCCACCAGCAGCAGCCTGCTGCTGTCTCAACAGTTCAAACTGTTGAGCACCTTGTTCTCTCAACAACTCTGCTTGTTGAGAACCTTGTTGGTGAAGCAAGGCTACTTTCTCGCGTTCAGCGTCAAGTTCATTTTGAATGAACTTGGCGATAGTAGCATATTGGGCATCTCTACTGAGAGCCTCTAGCATGACGCTAACAGCATGGATGCCCATAGTTGAACCCATTCGTTCAACCGCATCCCATTCGACATCGCTCAAATGGGAGTAGCCGTCACGCGTAGCGTGAAAGCTTTGGTCATCTTCATCATCCAACATATTCATGTTGGATGTGAACGTGGTCCTTGGACGGACTACGAAGTGCTACCAGATGTAACGGGGCATCCTGAAGCTTGTACTGGTGACAGTACAAGCTACTTATTCTGATGACAGAATGCGGCGGTGCCTCAGAACTTCACGTACACTGGTACGTGCAGAGGAAGACGGTAAGAAGAAGCGAGTACTTGGTTAAAGTAAAAAGTAGAACTGTATTTATAATAGTTAATGTCTGCAATAAATCACTATTTATCTTCATCTAACTATATCTGAATGCAAATGTGCATATCAACTATCTGCTCACCACTCAATGCGTGCGTCTGTCGTGCTGCGTCTTCGTTGGTTGATATAATGGCCTATATCAACCAATTAGGAACTACTCGTAAGTGCTGCAGAATATTTGTCCTTATGACAATATTCTGAGAATATAACTCTTATAGTTATATTCTATTAACAATTTCTTATAAATTGTTGTGTAACGATTCACCCCGTTACACAATGAGTGGTGAGCAGATAAGTGATTTACACATTTGTTTTTAGACATAGTTAGATGAGGATAAATAGTGGTTTATTAACAGACATTAACCATTATAAATACAGTTCTATTTTGTACTTTAACCAAGTACTCGCTTCTTCTTACCGTCTTCCTCTGCACGTACCAGTGTACGTGAAGTTCTGAGGCACCGCCGCATTCTTTCATCAAAATAAGTAGCTTGTACTGTCACCAGTACAAGCTTCAGGGTGCCCCGTTACTTAGACTTTCTTTCCACGTCCCTAGCATGATCACCTGCCAGCGAATTTAGGTGCATCCGTGTGCCTCTCCCTAGCGAGGATTCAAACCGATTCAAACTTTCGCCCGGGTTAATGTAACGCTCGATTGATAGTCGTATGTATCTGAATAAACGACCAACCAGCCTCTACATGTGCTGCAAAAATTACTATGGTCGACTTGTCTATCTATATTCCCCTATAATGCTAGCCGCTGGCGCGCTCCTACACATGTACAACCTTGTTTCCTATCTAATTTCATCTACTGCTCGAACAATGCAGGGTCTGCCACAGGAGACGAATTGATGCACTCGTCAAGCTATTGGTAATGTCGTTTTATGTGGTACAAACGACCACATGGAAAGGACGACACTGTATGACTGTGTGTAACGATGAGGTCGACTCATCGTTTTGTCACCGATGTCGTAAGTCCGATATTGATAGGCTTAGACTTGTACAGCGATACGAACAAAGGACCTAGCTAGGTTACATATTTGCTTTCCATTTTACCTTTTTCTAAGCGTTTCAACTTTAAATCGCTCTAAGCTGTTGCCAAAGATCATTAACAAGCGCGAACGCCGTAACCAAATTCAGCCATTGGACGGGTTCGTAACCTGATAAATCCCGGAGCTGTCACAATGAACAAACACAACTCAGGGAAGCAAGTAGTGAACTCAGGCAACAGATTGAATGAGTAAGTGGAATTTACTGTAATCGCAACCAGACTATATTCGAAACGCTGCGCTGCACACAGCAATTGTTATGTAGCCCGAATTTCCATTTACTAAGCTCATAATGCTTCACCTTTCTTTCATGCGGTAAATCCATCGCCGTAACTCAACTTCACCAGCTTTCACAACAACATACAGGGAGCAGCATTTACAGTAGTAACTACATCGGACCAGTTGAAGCTAGATGAAAGAGATGCGAGAATAAAGCCTTATGGGTAAGAAGGGGTAGACAACATTGTATGGCCGTGCCTAAAGCGTTAACGCATCTTTATTTCCTCAGCATGACTGTTTGTTGACTGTAGGAATCTCAGGCTTCTGACTGATCAACTTCGGTGCCTAGTTAGACTTCAAGGTGGAGTCGACCTTAGACAACAGCGGGATTTGCGTATGATAAATATTTTTTGCAACGATCTACGAATATGAAGCGTTAAGTGTTGTACACTGTCGAGCACGAATCAAGTCTTGGAACGGATCTACAAATTGTCGCGGAGGCCTCATGAGATTTTACTAGTCGACCTGCTGTCACCTCTGCAAAATCATGACACACAATTCGGCTAGAAAACACCATGACGTGCTTTTCTACTGCTCTCGTAAGAAATTTACGATGAAAAAGCTGCATCTCGCACCTCCAAACTTTCGAGCAAAACACAGAGGTCGTTATCCATGGAAAAGCAGCATCTAAATGGATGTTACGGATACAGTGAACTAGTCGATATGGTGTTGGAAAGCTTTGTTACCCAAGACTTGCATCACCTTCGCATATTCTTCACGCAGAACGCCGCAGCTAACTGACAACTTGATTGCTGCGACGTAATTCGGGCTTTTCTGCTCAACTTATAGCGTGTTGTGCCGGAGAAGCTGGACAACAAACTTTTCATCATGATTGTACGCTTGATCACTGCGTGTTTAGAAATTAATCCACACGATTAAACGCAGCTTGAAGGACACTTGGGGATACTGTCTTCCCGACGTCCCTATTGCCATGTATACAGTCAATCGGGGCTCCTCGATGACATCAGGTAGTTGTGAAATGCCTTGGCCGAGGATGCCAGAGATATTAGTAGTGATGATGGTCCAGTGCTACGGATCACTACGGGCAACATGCAAATGTTGAATGACCCCTGGTTCGATACGTCTAGCATCCCTAGTGTCAGAAGCGACCTTGATTGCTCCCACACTGACTCAAGTCCTTGTGGCGCAATATCGCTTACTTTTGGGAGTGCATGTCCGATCGTCAGCAAATCGTGCGTATCGGCGACAGCTCCTAGGAAGGAGTGAAGCGTGTGGGATCGTGCACCATTTGAGTGACTGCATCGAGGCCGAAGCCAGATATACCGTTGACCCGAGCCGACTCGTCTCAGAATGAAGCAGAACGGTACGACTCGGCAGTCGCTACTTCCAAAGGAGGTTCAACGCTCCATTGCAAGTTGTCAACCGGTTGAATGATCTTGCTGCGACGTCGGAACAAACGATGAGGGTGCACGAGATATGCCGTCAGGATCGAGACAAACAATTGACATTATCGAGCTTACAGTCCCAACCACCCACTACATTCACGTTGCCTGCTTGCGTGCACATCCAAGCCCTTAGCAACCAAAGAAGCGGACAACCTGTACCGACGTGCTCGTTGTACCCTTTGACAAGTACGCCACGCTGCCGTCCGGGTACGTCTTGAGCGCCTGGTACCGGTTGCCCACCACTGCCTTGTCCACCGTGACCTTCTGGCTAATGGCTTTGCCGGTCTTCCCATCCAGCACCTGCACGTACATTGTACGACCACTGCCTTCTACCAGGTCACCACCCGAAGAGCTGCCCTCCCAAACAGCCAGCATGCCGCCATTGCCAATGGACGCCAAATGTGGTGCACGCTCGTTGGCATCCGTGCCTCCCAGCGTGATATCTCCACTGGCCGCAGCGTCCATTGCAAAGTGGATCAGGTGCACTTTGGCGTTGTTGCCTTTGCCATTGCTCACAGTGGCCCAGTACTTGTTGCTCGACGGGTTCGAGTCCGGCACGATATCACCTAAATTCGAGGCACTCAGGTCCACCGGATAGATGGTCGTGTCCCAGTCCTTGGGCGGCATGATGCGGTTGCCGCTATCCGTCTTACAGATGGTCGCATAGCTCTTCGTGCGGTTATCATACGTGATGCGCTCGTAAGCGGAGTGCGAACAACCCCAGTCGAACGAGTCCTGGTCCGCCGTGATTGTGCCCGACGGATTTACCACCTTCATGCGGTCACCCTGGTGAATGTTAATGCAGCCACCCTCGGACGTCGAGATGGCAGCACCAAAGTATGCAGCCCAGTTGGTACCGTCAAAGGCGATACGGCCGTGATGAGCATACCACCAGATCATGTACACGTCTTTGCCCGTCTTGGACGACGAGTAAGGGGGCAGTGATACACTAGAAGATGTCAGCTTCGTCGCCCACTTCTCACTCGAACCATCGTAGCGAGCCAAGTACATGTCGTAGCATGGCACGGCTGGGTTGGGCGCTGATCCACAGAGATTGCGCGGGTTACCGCAGTTGAGGGTGCCTCCGCCTTGGGCGTCTCTCGTGCCGAGAATCACAAACCCGTTGGTATCGGCGTGGATGTCTGCAAAGTCGTGCATCGGTACTTTGATCGCAGCTTTGCTGCTCACGAGCTTGTCGTTGGCATCGAGTTCACGCACGATCACATTGCCACCGCTGTGGAAGGCGATGCGTGATCCACCGGAAGGCAGCGCGGCAATAGCCACAAGTTTGAGTGCAGCTTCGTCTTCGTTGCTGTCAATGGCGACACCCACGTCCACTTCGGTGATGACCACGCGAGGCTTGGCGCAAAGGCTTGGGTTACTCTTTGACGTAGTTGACGTTTTCGAGGTCTGTGCAGACGTGATGAGACCTGAGCGAGAACCGGCACGGACATTGCTGGTGAGCAACAGGACCGCAGTCACGTGTAGAACGTGATAGAGACGCATGGGTGCTTGTGAAGCTTACACGTGATGAACGGTGAGGAGAGAAGGTCGATGCAAGTGACGGACTGTGGAGGAAGGAGGCTGGTTAAGATGTGGCATTAGCGACGAACATGATCCGCTCGAGCATCAAGTGCCCTTGAGGTCTTGCTCTCTCTCTACTCATCGTCTTATCGGTGGCACGTGGTTGCAGGCCTTCCATCTGCAGCAGCGCAACGCGGACAAGCTTTTGTGCTAAGCCTCACACTTGTATGAGGCGATCAACTTCAACGTGCTGTCAGGTCAGCAGCTGAACCTAGAAAAGAGGTCGACAGAAGCACGAACGTGAGCTTCGAAGCATAAGCGCCACCGGTTGCGCTGTCGAGTTTGCTCTCTTGTCATGTTGTTGCAGTGGTTGAGACGAAGAGAGCATGAGTGGATCCCAGCTGCCAAGCGGTGTCAACTCGGAAGCTCGAAGCGATTCGACGAGAGTCAACAGCCGCGTTTGAGGAAAACGTCGGATCGACTATCAGCATGCGCAGAAACGTTTGCTCTCTTTCGACGTGTCCATTCCTCCTGGCAGTGCCTGGTCGCCGTTTATGTGGCTAGACAGCGTCTGTTGTAACGCGTTTGCATTGAAGAACTTCACGAAGCTGCCACCAGGTGAACTGCTGCTCACTTCATTTGTCATCCCTTCCGCGAATCCGTCAGGTCGTTATTGCTTCTGACTTTTACCCGGCTGTATGCACAATGTCTGGCTGTCGCTGTCTCGACGCATCAATAGTGAAAAGTGACGTCTTACTGAGTGGCACGCATCAGGACTACTACTTGTTGAACCCTCTGTATAATCTCAACGGGAGGAGTGGAGATGTTGACAGAATGAGCTCGTTTACAGCCACTCGCTGTCTCGATTGCTTGCAGAGGAGAGACCGTCTCAGTTGGGGCTGCACCGATACGAAGAGATCCGTGAGTACTCTGCTCACGCAAATGGACCCTTTCATTATACCACACAAGACGACAAGCTGACACGCAGCACATGCCCGTAGGCTTTCAGATAATGAGGCCTCCTTGGCAGCGGAGATAATAACGTGACGTATACCCACTTGCCACTTCGACAGCTCCATGCTATCTACCAGCTCGGGACTCTCGCGCTTTTTGGGTTCACCTAAGTAGAGGACGAAGAGGACTGTGCAGCTCGAGCGGAGTACGAACGGGAATGAGACAAGCACGGCATGTGTGCGTAAGACGCATAGCACGCACACCTGTTGCACTTGTTTTCCATCCCACTTCGTATCGCCTTTTCAAAGTGATCGACAGCTAAGTGATCGGTCTCTCTACCACCAAGCAACAAACAACAAAACTAGAAAAAGTTGGTATTCTGCATCAGTAAATTACAGCGTACTAGCATCATGTCTTCTGCTGTCGAACAGCCACGTAGCCAATGTTGTCAGTACAAGTGAAGCGGTCTCAATGCGTCCTCGTAGTAGCCACTAGAGCTTGTGTCCGTCTCGCTTCGTCTAAAGTCGCGTCTCGTTTCGACTCAGTTGGACTCGGTGCCTCGACGTAGCAACCCGCGCGCGAACATGGCCGATTCGTCACCCATCGCCAGCATATGACGGGCCGTCACGCCGGTCTCTTTTTCTGCGACAACGGCGTCGGGAGAGGCGACGAGAAGGATCATCAATGCCATAGCGCGGCAGTTCCAGAACTTCATTTGACAAGTCGATGGCAGATTCAGAAGTGAGCCCTGATCGAATCACTGCGCGACCACGTTGTCCACGAAAGGAGCTAATCGGTTGATGAGACAGTTCGTTACAACTGGACGTAAGCGCGAGCGTCGAACTGAAGCGAAAACAGGCGCTCCGATCGCACGATGACGAGTTACAGCCATAGCGATCAAGCACTTGCGAAACCGATCAAGTTCGCATGTCTCTTAAAGCAGACACAAAAATCGACTCTCTGCACCCTCCGGCTAGGCATTTCCACAGACGTGCAGACACCACGAGCGTGTGGACTGTACGCGTCCTAAAAAATCGATATTTTGATGCTACTAAAAGCCGCATCAGGTTTGTCGTGGTGCTTTCGCGCTATAGAGATTCTCTTGACAGCTCTTTTTCAAATGTTCAAACAATTTGATGATGTATATCCTATTCATTACACGAATTTGCACTGATGCCGCTAAGACTGTCCTGATCAGGAAGCCGTTGAAAAAAACCAAACCTCTCTCTTAGCATACCGCTCCTTCTTCGGCTTTTTATCAGGGACATCTGGACATGGAACGGTCTAAATAAATTAGGCTCCCACCCCACACAGTCATGCAGTACTCCTCTGCGTCCGTTACTACACATGGAAAGTCCGTCATGTGCATTACACAACACAAATCCTTATCCCGTCCTGATCTGCGATACGTTACAAAATGCATAGTCTGCCAAACGCTCTCCCGATGGAGCGTCGCTTATGCTGATAAATAGACACTATCAAGTAACAACCAACGACCCGAACGCTGCAACACTGGTCGTGCCCTCGTCCGTTGGAACACTAAACAAGCTGTCGACGCCACGCCAGCAGCGGCTTGTGGAACACGAGCGAGACAGCGTCCCCTGTCCGTGTCCGGAGACTCGTCGCTTGTGCTGAAAACTTCTCCACGTCTTGTTTACTGTAAAACAGCTCGAGCACTTGATCGTCTGGGAGCGTCGGGATCGTCCGCACTTTGACGCTGCCAAAGAACGAAACGTGGCGCTTCTTCGGGTCCTGGGCGTCCATAGACGCGCTCTTGGGGCGACGCACGACTTCACTCGTCATGGCCAATTGGTAGAAAGCCGTGATCCATTGGAATTGGTCGGCACGACTAAAGACGCGGCCGAGTACTTCACGGCCGTCAGCCAGCGTGAACTCAATCGTCAGGTCGTTCTTAGGAGACACGCGGCCGCTCTTGAGCAAGAGGGACTCGACCACGTTGCGACGGTAGGTGGCGTCCTGTTTGTTGTGGAACAGCAGCAAGTTGGTGTGCGTGAGGACGAGGAATCGCGTGGTCCACGTCAATACATTCCGACGCTTGATGCGGGCGTAGCCTTCGCAGTAGACTGTCGACGACGCATTCGTCTGGTCGAGACTGTAGCGCCGATTCGTGGCGTTCGATGCAGCGGCAGCTGTGACGGACGTCACGGGCGTGAGGCTCGCGTGGCGGCGACGTGAATTGTGGACGCCCGTGGCGGGTTTGGCCGTGGTGTTGCAGTTATGGTTGTTGCTGTTGTTGTTGTTGTTGTTGTTGACGGCCATCGTCAGCGAGTGGATGGACGTTCTCGATGGATTTTTCGGGAATGAAGAGGACTTGGTGGGGTATTGTAGTGGTGGGTGGCCGCAGAGGAGTAAGTCGGTAAAAAGATGGCGGGACAAGAGAGAGAGAGAGAGAGAGAACGGAGCAGTTGCAAGATGACGGCACATAGTGAAATTAGGTGTCGGAACGTGTCGCGCTTAGCGTGGTGCACGCCAGTAAGTGGGACGCTGCAGCGAGCGTTTCTAGGGTCTTTAGTGGCTAGAAGGGGAATTCAAACATGCCGCTACAGGGCCGTAATCAGATCGATGTTTCGATTTGTATCACACGTTGGGACAAAAGAGGTGGAAGAAAGACGCTCGTACAGGGATGCAATCCTTTTGTGCTGGACAGACTGTGTGTTGAAGTACGGGACTGGTGCGATTCATCTACACGCTGTCGACAGACAAACATGCGACTTTTTGAGCGTCATGTGACTCGTCGGCACACGCTGGAAAAGTCACCAGAGAGAAAGCTTATTCATTGGCCCTTGCCAGGAGTGCAGTCAGCTAGTACGATCGGAAACTGAACGGCTAAATGCCCGCGAGGTGTCCCTGCTGATGGGCACGCCTTTGTCACCCAGATCCTTTTCCGCTTGATGGACTGATTTGAATCAGATATAGGAGAAATCTGCCCAGACAATGGGCACACTGCTGAGCGCCAAAAGTGCAGAAAGTTCTGTGCATTGCCGTTTGGCCACTCTACACTCCCACGTGACGCTTCAAATTCTCTCGTCTACCAAGCATGAAGCTGACGTGATTTCGGCTACTTTCCGGACTGCGTTCTCGAGGAAGCGATTAATCAACGTTGAGAGCCTCGAAAAAGGGTATCAACTTGCATACCGTGACCCTCGATTGTGCCGATTGGCGTAATGATACGTTAGGTTGCGAAATCATGAAGCGTGGCATTAGCACACATCCATTGGGTACAGACAAAATCCGGCTGTGATCTTCGTATGACAGTCACTGCGCGCCACAGGATTTGCATCCTGCTCGACTGGCGTCTCGAGTATCACTTCTGGACTTGCCGCTTCCGCCGCAACGGTCTCAAGTATCTACTTCCACACCCACTACAATGAGATTCCTCCTCATCTTTGCGACTGATACTGTTGCTGTCATGTATCTCTCCGAGCGCTCAGCTGCTTCAAAACAGTCGTCGATCCATTGTCGCCGGGAAGTAGAACGTCGACGACGCCATCTGCTACACACCCTCTTATCCCTCGGGTCAGTACTGTCCGTGTGGGGAGAAGGCCTGCCACAAGCTCTTGGCAAGCACTGCTTTAGTCCGACCACTTGTAGAGGATCCCAGGGAATGTTTATTGTGATAATCGATTAAGTGTAAACGAGGTCCTGGAAAGCAGCACTTGTTCGACATTGATCGTTCTATTGCGAGACGACACAATGTCAGAAATAGCCCTGCAGAATTCGTCAGTGTTCGTCATTGTTTATGCCAGTCTCACCGGAACGGTATCAGCTCAATGCGTGAACATACGTCAGTCTTCTACCGTTCATATCTTCACCAACTTTGTGCAGACCACAAGGATTTTCCATTTTTCATGGATCGTGCTGAAATTACTTATGATGAAGCTGAGCATAAGGATACTGGCTCGAGTGACTGCCATGTAGCAAATGGAATCTGACCGGTACTGCCGAGCCAAGATATCCTCCAGTTACCTTGCGGGGCCCTTCACGACCGCAAATGTGTGAGTGCTGCAGTACACGTGGCCGATTGACATGACTTCGTGTCCAAGGCTTTTGCGGTGGCACTGTTTCTGGCGAAGCAGGCAACACGTCACGAGTTGTTCTGCACGAAAAGGAGCTCTTACGACTTGAACTAATTGAAAACATGTGCAGTTGAGTGTGTAGATGATTGCGCCATGGCGATTGCTGGTAACGTACCATGAGCACACTGCGTTACCATAGAATGCTCGTCATGCGCATTGGTGCTAGTAGCATAGATCTTAGTTCTGGTTATGGAATGACGCGCTCAAGTGACAGCGGTATACGTATTGCTCAATTGGAGATTTTCGGTATGCATTGCCAGCATAGCTACCAAACAACATCAATGGCAACAACGTACAGGAGGACAGGCCAACGAATCTTGCTTCCTCTACTACAGCATTCAGTAGACATGACGTCTCAGAACTTACCCTCGATTTGACACCGATTTATTTTCGGGCTGAGCTGTATTTTAGACGACTCGACATTCATGAGACAAATTGTATGCTTCTCCGTTGGTCAAAGCTTCGAAGCGACGACAAATTTGCAGCACTTTTTGTCTCGAAAATCCACTTCCATAAAAAGTGTTTTATTGCGAGCCCGAAGAGTGAAGCTGTTGGTGAGTGTGCGCGAGGTTGAATGCCGAGCTTTTAAATCGTACTTATCTGTGCATGTGTCTGTCAGTCTGTCTGTCAGTCTGTCTGTCTGTGCATAACGCGGTTAGGTGTAGCTACCTGTGCTAAGTGCGAGCTAGCCTGTCCCCCCCGGAGGTGCAGGTACATCTGACGTCACTCTTTGGCTAGATCACTTTTGCACCACAATAGTGACTGACCGAAGAGTGACTTCGGATGCTTGTGATTGGCTTAAATTAGACTAAAGGTGAATGTGATCACATGAGCAAATGCCGGACGCATAACAGCAAAGGCCGATCACGTTGACTAAGTATGCCGTACTAGATTAATACACACAGTAACAGGATCGCACTCCTTCTCCAGTGACTGCTGCTGTTGTATAGCATTTTGCAACTTGATTCAGTTCTCCGAACCGAATCACTTCTATCAAAGGGCGAGCTCCAGAGCTTGCTCCCCTATCTCACAAAACTCTCATCATCACGTTATTAACTCGCGCACTGCATGGAAACCGGCGAAAAGAAATATACGCACAAAAGGAATGCACGATTTACAGATCTGGTAGTTATGATCATCGAGAGATCGTCTCCTGCAATCGAACATCACATGCCCTGAACGGGCTCAGTTATGTAGCCACACACCGTGCGAACCTAATCAAAATCAAAACGTTTCTAAATTCTAGAGCCATGTCGTAAGCTACTATTGCTCTCACGATGTGTTCTACCCATCCACTTCTTGCACTTGCGACTCCTAAAAACCCACGACGCTGGAATTGTAAGCAATTTGGTCGTCAAAGAAGCGCGGCGAGTCCAGCATAAAGTAGCTACTCACAAACAATGGCGTGGTCATTTCTTAATTTCTTGCGACTAGCGGCCCCTGTCAGCTAAAACTAATTTAGAAAGCTACGATTGACCTCAGTATAGCTGCCTCGTGACCTCGACATGCTGAACAAGTTGCATCCTCATTCTCATACCATAGCAATCGTCAGTTGGTCATTGACGGAACGGGTTTAGATCGACAATACAACTGAATTGTGTGAGGGACGACGACGTACCTAGTTCGTGTGACGAGTTCTGAAGGCTCGTACATAAGGTGAATCGATTCGTGTGGAGAAGATTTGCACAACAGTTGATCAATGAGACCCGCCGGCGCTCATGATCCCTGATTTATTTTGTACCGGTATATCTTCTTGTCACTGACGTCTGCATGATTCGTTTCCGAATCCGCCGTCCAAGCCAAGTCAAGCGCAATCCATTACCCACCTACGACAAGCAAGTAACAAACCGAAAGGATCATGAAACTCTCGACCGTGTTCACTCCCGCTCTTGTCGCTGTCGCGTGCCTGTTCCAGTCAACGGCTGCTGAGGGCCAATCCAGTATCCACGTTCGAGTTCACGTTGAGGAGTCCCCGCATGGAATCTGCTACAAGGAGTGTGAAGCTGGCTCGTACTGTCAGAACGGTACGGACACGTGCATAAAACCCACTGGCACGCAGTGCTTTCACCCGGACAAAGGTGTGATCGTGGACCAGGGGTGCGATCATGGCTTCGTGTGCAAGGAAGGCAAGTGCGTTTACAAGTAAGTGCGTCGAGGTCGACTGTTCCAAGGGATGCATGCAGCAGGAGCCATTCGTTGAGATTGGTGACCTTTTAAGCTCAGTAATAAAAAATTAGCCAAGTTCATGGTCGTGTCCTATTTGTGTACGTCATATCTACATGCTCATTATGATTAGGCTCACAACGATGACGTTTGGGTGACTGTCAAGCGGGACGTCATAACCTGCTCATAGACTGATCTGCCATTCAATTGCAGCAACAGAGGATGAAGCCATCACGACGACTGAATGTGTCAATAAGTTCTTCTAGTTGATAGCTTCCTCGCGATATGCACAAAGCCATCGAGTGCGTTTCCGCTGGTTCTGGACTGGATGTCGATGCTCCGTACTAGTCGCTTGGTCCGCGATTGGAAAGTGAAAGTGCTGAGGAGCTGTCACTTGTGGGACACGCGAGAACGGCTGAGGATGCAGCAGTCGGATGAACTCGATGGGAACCAGCGCTGTCGAATCGCGGCCAGCTCCCGAACTGTACTCGACTTCTTCGTGTTTGATCTCAATGTTCACGATCGTCAGGTCCCTCCAACGAGCCAGCAGGTCCAACGAGATGTTGGCAATACCCGAGTGATCATCATCTCCATGAGTACTCGCCTTGCTCTTCTTCGGCTGCCGACAGTTTCCACGCGTAGTGGTGTAGCCGTTAAGAAGAGCAAAGACATGGTCGCGGCCTTGGTCATTCGTCACGACGCGACCTTCACGACCCATTAGCACGCTCGCGTACAGCCAAAAGAGGTCGTCCGACAAAAAGTCCGTGCGGCAACTGTAAATCATGTCCTCCTCCTGCCAGCGTGCGAGAATCGCCTTCTCTTCAGAGGTGCGTTCGCGCGTGACAAACTTACCCTGACGCCGCATTTCCTTGAAGTGCTTGGTGCGAATGCGCACCACGAACTTGTCAGCGAGGTAAGCTGCAGGCATCGTGATGCTAACAAGATGGCCCTGCGCTTGGAGTTTTCTCGCGACAGCATCGACCTGGTCCAAACGATACGTTCCGGCGCTGAAGTTCTGGTTAATGTATGCAATGTTGGGTCCGTCCAGCACATAGTGCAGGAACTTACCGGCTGCTTCACCGTCTTCAGCTAGGTTCTTCAGCCGAAACATTTCATATCGAAGCATCAACCACTTCTGAAATGGCTCCAGGTACTCCTTCACCGTATTTCCTGGAGGTACTTTACTGCGCCTGGATTCAATTGCAGACAACATGTACGCACGTTCAAGCTCTGACATCCTCTGCTTGCTCAAAACGTGTCCACAGCTCGGACACCCTGATCGCATCCTTGCATCACTCGGCACGGTCTCTACAACAAATCCAGCAGCACGAAACGTACGTTGCAGTTGCTGCGCATTCGGCAAAGACACTTCTCGACACGCCAATTGCAGGTCATGCAGCAACGACGTCATCTGGTCATGAAAGTGAACACTGCTTGAGCTTGCTGCTTCTAGCGTTTCCAGTCGCTCATTTTGCTTCACACACGCAATCACCATGTGCACCAGCACGTCCTCCATCGCATTCGTCCACTCTACACCGTGTTGCTTTAGCTGCTGCCATTTCGAATACGCGCTTTGAAATTCATCAAGGCTGCACTCGTGCTCGAGCAACGGACTCACCGTGCGAAAATGCAGTTTCGGAGCTTCGTGTCCCTCCACTTTCCTCAGTGTCCGCATCAGTCGATTCACGAGTGTCCAGGCCGCCTCCACGTCTCCTCCTGCAAGCTGCAGCTTGATCACTGAGCCAAAAACTGCTTCATTCAGCGACTTTCCAAGCACAAATGGTCGCGTCGAGTCGTCGTCAAAGAGCTCCTGGTCAAAGTAGAGCAGCACTTGTCGTCGAAAAGCGTCCGAGAGCGCATTCTTCTCCGCCTGTTGCGCGCAGTAGAAGTAGAACGAGTCCACTGCATGCCGCACGGTCACACCGTTCAGCGTCTTGCTCTGCACCTCGTTCTGCACCAATAGCAGCACCTCTTCCAGCGGCAGCTGTTGCTGCACGACGTACCAATGGACGTTGAAGCGCTGTTTTTTTCGGCCAATCACCGGCGTTGGCGCCATTATCGTCGTCGCATTGTCGTTCGTCTCTTTTTTGTGCGTATTAAGTCGCAAAGCGGTGGGTTGACGACGACCGAGAGGCGATGGCTCGGCCGCGGCCAAGGGAGCGCTTAGAACGCAGCGATTCGCAGCGTGAGACGACGAAGAACGGGCTGAAACAGCTGTGGCAGTGCAGGCAGCGAAACTGGGTTCACACGCTCTGGGGACTCGCCACAAGGCGCAACGTCTTGCCGCATCACGTGCGACTTTCTGCATTGTTTACAATAGGGACTTGCCAGTCGATCGTGACACAGTGGCTGACTGGCTGGCTGGCGGAAGGTCGCCTGTCACATACGATATCCATCGATCGTATCGGTTTTGACAGGAAAGAGGCGACCCCGCAAATTGCGGTTGTTTTTTCTGCTGCCGCACAGACGCGGCTCGTCCATTTCTCTTCGTTGGAATATAGTCCACCTCTACTGGAGCATACATCGCCTGCTCGGCCCCTTTCGTGCCCTCTACATTAGCATATCGTTATCTCGAGTGCCGCTTGCGTCGGCAGTCGCCCGTCCATCATCTCGAAGCACTTGCTGTCGCTGGCTCGAAGCGCTTGCTCTCGCGTACCCTCGCGTACCCTCACGTACCCCATGGAGACGCTCGTGCTCAAGTCGCTGAGCAAGCTGCGGCAAGCGTGTACCCGCAGCCACCGCGAGGTACGCGCCCTCATCGACAGCTCGCAGGCAAAGGTGACGCAAGTGACCACCCAAGGGGGTACCCTCGACGTACCCTTTGAACCCTTTCTCCTGGCTTGCCTCACCCGCTCCGCCAAGCTCGTTGCCGTTGCTTTGGACTGTCTCGAGAAGTTCCTGGCGTTCGGGTACCTCAAGGACGCGGGTGTAGCCATCTCCAACAGCGTGCGGCGTCGCCTCGTGCAAAAAGTCGCGGCAGCGTCATCGTCATCAAATCCCGGCCGGCGACCGGGATTTGGCTTGGGCTTGAGCTTGGGATCTGGGATTAGCGGGACGAGCGGGATTGATGGGACACGTGCGGGTCTGGCTGCTGCGACGCCGTTAAGTGGCGAGTGTGACGTCATTGGAGGCGCTGGAGACGGCGCTGGCAGTGACGACGAGAGCGTGCGAGTGATCGACTGCATCGTGGACGTGGCGTGCGACTGCAGCGACCACTTGGACGACAACGTGCAGATCCAAGTGCTGCGCGTGCTGCTCACGGCCGTGACGACGCCGGCGTGTGAAGTGCACGAACAGGCGCTTTTGCGAGCAGTGCGGGCGTGTTACCACGTGCACTTGGTGAGCAAAAGTGCGATGACCCGGACAGTGGCCAAAGCCACGTTGCAGCAGATTCTGAGCATTGTGATTCAAAGGATGGAGACGTTTGATCGACGGGTGGACGAAGAGACGGCTGTGACGTTGCTGGCGTCGCTGCAAAAGCACGAATGTGAGCAACAACGATGTGATGGAGAAGCGGGAAACGAGCACAAACGAGGGGAACCAGTGCAACACAAGAGTGCCGCATGCAATATCGATCGAGACACGACTCGTCGGCTCGAGCGTGCTGAAGCGACGGCTACTATGTATCCGTCCGTTGCAGCACTGCTTGTGCTTTCGCGTGAATCCGCATGCTCGGAAGATCCAGCAGCCTCGTTTACGACAACAAGGAATAATGTTGAGGTGGTGGCGCCTCATTCGCAGCAAGGATCTGCTCCTGCTTTCCCGTCTGTGCTGCACAAGGACGCGTTTCTGCTGTTCCGATCACTTTGCCGAATTTCCATGCGGTCAGTGGCTGATGATTCTCCAACGACAAATGACGTGAGCGTCTCCGTGGCTGGAAGAGCAGGAAACGGTGCTAATCCTGAAGACCCTTTTGCGTTCCAAAGCAAAATCCTGTCGCTGGAGCTGGTGAAAGACATTTTGAAGAATGCCGGTCCATCGTTTCGACAAGGGGAGCGGTTCGTGCATGTCATACGGCAATACCTTTGTCAGTCGTTACTGCAAAATTGCACAAGCAACTATACGCAGATCGTGTCGTTGTCACTGCAAGTCTTCTTGGTATTGTTGCGTAACTTCAAGCGCCATTTGAAGACGGAGTTGGACATTTTCATTACGAGCATTTTCCTGCGCTTACTGCAGTCCGAGAACGCCAGCTTCGAGCACAAACTGCTCGTACTGGAAGCTTTGCGTGCCATATGTGACGACCCGCCAACTATAGGCGAAATTTTTATCAATTACGATTGCGAGTGGAATACCAATGACCTGTTCAAGCAGATCGTGCATGCGCTTGCTAAGACCGCTAAGGGCAGTCGCTCTCAAGACGCAGCAGCACAACAGTACGCTGCCAGCTTGTCGACCAGCGCGCGGATCAAGATGCAGCAGCAGGATGCGGCTCTCGCCTTAAAGGGTCTCGAATGCCTTACAGCAACTGCTGCATCGTTAAAAAAGGCAGCGAATTTCGTTGAAATCGAACGACAATACTCTTCCCGGCGCGAGGGAGAGCAGTTTCATGATGGCGAAAACGGTGAGGACGAAGACAATGTTGCCCCGCCAGACTTGGTACCAATTATTTCATCTACTATGTCGGCAGTCGAGGCTTTCAAAAGCAAGAAGAAGCGCCAGGAAGAAATGGCCACGGGAATTCTCAAATTTAATGTGAAACCTAGTGCTGGCGTCGCGTATCTTGTTGCTCACGGGCACATGGGCGAAGGCTCGCCGCGTGATGTCGCTGGATTTTTACACATGCACAACAATAAGCTGGACAAAACGATGGTAGGCGACTACCTTGGCAACGGCGTTCATTATCAGGGAGGTTTCTGTGTGCAAGTGCTGCACGAATACGTGGATATGATGGAATTTACAGGTCTGGAGATTGATGTAGCTATTCGCCATTTTCTTGCTGGTTTCCGTCTACCCGGCGAATCACAGAAGATCGATCGTATGATGGAAAAGTTTGCTGAGCGGTTCTTCAGTTCGTGTCCACCTGGATTGTTTCCTAGCGCCGACACAGCTTTCATCCTAGCCTTTTCCATCATTATGCTGCAAACGGATTTGCACAACCCAAGTATTGCAGAGGAGAAAAAGATGGACAAAGCCGGATTTCTGCGCAACAACCGCGGCATCAACGATGGGAAGGATTTACCTGAGGACTACATGGGCGCTATCTTCGACCGAATAAAGGCGACACCTATTTCTTTGAAGGAAGACGACGATTTCCGCGGACGTCGTGGTGGTGTCGCATCCACTGCTGCAAGCTCTCTGTTTGGAGCTTCAGGTGCAGCTACTGATCGCTTGCGCCGTGACGCATACATCAAAGAGCGTCAGTCAATGGTGCGCCAGTCTGAGGCTCTTTTTAAACGTCGCCTGCCGGCATCGTCGCGAGGGCAACAACAATCTTCCGCTTCTCCTCGCAGCAGCCGATTCAGTGCTTCTACCACGCCTGGCTCTCCGACCTCTACCGCATCGCAACAAAGTAGCAATGCTGGGTCGACTCTTGTAATACCAGATGTGTCATCGTTTGCGTTCCAGGAAGTCTCGGGGTATAGCGAGCGTTCGCACGTCCGCCCAATGTTCGATACACTTTGGGCTCCGCTATTAGCGGCATGCTCGGTGACCTTTGAAAGTTCCGAGTCAGCAGAAGCTATCCAGCTCTGTCTAGATTCATTCCGGCATGCTGTGCATCTCGCTGCTAGACTGGATATGCCAGCCGAGCGGAATGCGTTCGTGATGGTGTTGGCCAAATTTACTGCACTACACACAACGCACTCACGCTTGATGCGCTCGAAGAATATGGAGGCTATCAAGGCTCTGATCTCTATCAGTGTCAAGGATGGGAACTATCTTGGTGATTCATGGCACGACGTGCTGCAGGCCATATCTCAGCTGGCTCGAATTCAAACACATGCACAGAGCTTACGCGAGCACTCGGCATACGGGTCTGGTTCCAGTGACACACCTAACTCGAACCGGCAGCCTTCGCCTGGCGCGGGCAACCAGTCTGGTTCACGAAGCAGTAGTGGAAATGTTGCGCCGTCGTTCGGTATGCGTGGTTCTTCAGCAAACAGTAAGCGTGGTGGAGTAGGGTCGTCGCGGTTGTCTCCGTCGTTGTCTTACCGTGATATTGGTGGCCGTGGAGGCGGCTCTGAACTCGATGAAGCCCAAATTGAAGACGAGAATGCTGCACGTGTGTTGACCGAGATTGACCAGCTAGCAAGTGACCGCGTTTTTTCGAGCTCTGTGTCGCTTAGTGACCAAGCTCTGCAGGAGTTTGTCGTTCAACTTACCGTCGTATCGCTATCAGAGTGTTCTGGCATTGGATCGTCTGGAGGTGCAGGAGGCTCTCCTCCGCGTGTCTTCAGCTTGCAAAAGCTTGTTGAAGTAGCCGATATGAATATGCGAACACGCTCTCGTATGGTGTGGGCAGCTACGTGGCAGACTTTATCGAGGCACTTTACTACGATCGGGTGCCATGAGGACTTGACTGTTGGTATGTACGCTATCGATTCGCTACGCCAGCTTAGCGTGAAGTTCCTCGAGCGAGCAGAACTTCGCGATTTCAATTTTCAGCGTCTGTTCTTGGCACCATTTGAAGTGATCATGTCGAATGCGACGTCTCTTGAAACCCGTGAACTGATATTGCGCTGCGTGGAAAACTTGGTGCTTGCTCGAGTCAGCAATATCCGTTCCGGATGGAAGACAATATGGGGTGTGCTTCGTGTAGCTGCCGAGACGTATGCGCCAGGTAGTGAAGACCGGGTAGTGCTTTTGGGCTTTCAGGTCGCGCGCGGCGTGTTAGAGCGTCACTTTGACAGCATCGTCGATGTGTTCGTTGATGCAGTCGAGTGTCTTCTTGCTTTCGCAGTTTGCGGTTGTGAGGAGGTTGAGCACCAAATGAAGGAGCGAATTACGCTTACACAGCTCGGAGTAGATTGTGTTTGGCTTTTACGAAGCGTCTGTATCGAAAAATTAGCGACTGGACGGGTAATTGAGCCACTGACTGGTCGCGAAACTGCGGGATCGTTTTCGGCTAGTTTAGCACCAGCCGCTGCTGCTATGACCAAGGCCGTTCATCTTGACTGCAATAAAATCAGGGTCGTAGCGGATGATCCTTCGGATGTCAACAGCTGTGCTTGTGTGGAGTATTGTGAACAGGAAGTTGAAGTCGCGATAGAAGAGGAGATAGCCGAGCTGCCACCGTCCAAGGTGTTACCATCTGATTTGTCCATGTCATCACACTGTCCGGGAGCTGATTCTGAAGAGATGATGGAGGGAAAGTGTATCGAAAGCAGTGAGGCTGTGTACAACGGCTCAGCTGCACATACACGGATGTGGTGGCCTACGCTGACAGCGCTATCCGCGCTTGCTGCTGACCTTCGTCTGGACGTGCGTCTCGCAGCACTGGAAGTACTCTTTGACGCGTTAGAGATGCACGGCAAGAAGTTCTCACCGGGTTTATGGAAATCGATTTTCAAAGACATCCTTATACCCTTGCTATTCGAGCTGCGCCACCTTGAGGTGTTTTTTGAGAAGGGTGCATATCCGTTGCCCAAGCTGCCGTTGCCGGTGACGCGCAATTTGTCTAGTCAGATGCCTCGCTACACCGCTAGTAAGACGACCGCGACGCTGTGTCTTGAGCGGCTGCTTGAGTGCTTCGGCCTTTTTTACGATATTGTGGGATTTCTACCGGAAGTTCTGTTTTTACTTTGCAAGTTCATGTCCGCCGGCGACAACGAGCAGCAGCTTGCAACAGCGTCAGCAAGTGCACTCGAGACTACGTTGATCAGATATGGGCACAAGTTCCCAACGAGACATTGGGGCCTCATTGTTGACGAATTGTGCAATGCTATGAAGCGTGCCGAACCGACGTGGATATTTTCTGCCTCACCTCCTGCGCACGAGGCTGAAATGACTTCCGCTTCTGAGCCCGACGTCGGGAGTAGCATTGAAAACTTTGCAGAACAGAGAGCACTGTCATCGCCTGCACCGAGTCTACCTACGGCAGCAACCAACGCCTCGTCACCTCACCAGCCTTCACTCTTGGGAATGTACCCTGGAGTCGTAGCGACGCTGGGCTTCTCGTTCGCTGCAAGCTTTTCGCTAAAGATGGTCGGAGTGGGTGAGGTGGAAGCGCAGCGAGTGCCATCGCGCTCGCACTTGGCAGTTCTATTGACACTGCAGCGATTAGCAGGAAATGTGCTTGCCAACCGTCAGAGCAAAAAATTGTCAATAAGTGTCGGTCACGCTCGCTTGCTGTTGTCTTGCCTGCGTGAAAGCTTCATGTTTGCGCGCAAGGTCAATGACTCATCATCATTGCGGCGTTACCTGCGCCACATTGGGTGGCGCTATGGGACGACTGTGCCATCCTCCAGTGAGCTTCCGAGCTTGTTGCCGCAGGAAGTGCTGGGCAAGCAACAGTATCTCCGGGTGTTATTCGCCACAATCAGTCAAAGCGTTGATACCAGTGAAGTCGTGCCAATTGGAGTGGAAGAAGCTCGCGAGTACATGGCGCGCTTGGTACGAGACTCAGTAGAGGAATACCTGGTCTGGACAGGTTCAGCTCCGCGACAAGTATGTGAAAATGGAACGGTTCCTGCCGATGCCAAACAAAGGGTGGAAGGTCATACGCCACTTATGGTTGCAATTCTGGAGGAGCTGGCCAGACTTGGCAGCCCAGAGGTAAGCAGCATCTTTTGAGGTATCAAGCGTGCTGATCAAGTTCTTACAACGTTTTGTTTGCGTTCCTTTGTTCTGATGCAGCTCGAGCGCCACATGTCATGGTTGTATCCTCTTTTGACAAACCTTGTAATGGTGCCGGATGTTGAGGTGCGAGTGGCACTCTCAAACGTGTTTAACACAGCAGTACGACAATTACTGCGGATCGCTTCAGTCAAGCAGGCAACGGACTGATCGACTGACGGATTTTTGTGGTTGAAGTATAAAGTTTATGCGTCCTCTGTGGCTTTTGATCGTCTTTGATCCCTATCGGGGAACGGACAGCACTTTAGCATCGTCATGTTCTACGCCATAACTTCACCGTAGCTCTGCAATGTAGCCCCGGGTGCTCCAGCTGTTTGTAAGCTGGCGATTTCAGCATTTTGGTGCTTCAATGATAAAGAGCATCTCAGAGACTTGCTAGAAGTTTGTGTTTAGTTTCTTTGCCGGTTTTGCCGTCGTCGATGTCCTAAGCTTTTTTTTTACTAGCGTTGATACTCGAACGAGAAAAGATTGAGTTGAAACCGTTGATACCATATCTAGGAGCAAGGGTTGGAGACCGAGCTGCTCCGATATTTTTTCCTCATGGACAAGACTTGAGTACGCTCGCATACCATTATTACCGCGGCAACAAATTCCGACTGCGACAACTTTACGGACTTCATTCGTTTTTATCCTAACCTGATGGCGTTCATGACTCAACATTTTTTAGAACAAAGTTTTGTGATGTTCACGTAATTGTTTGGAGTAAGTTTAACAGGGACAAGTGCAAAAGGTGACAGGATTTAACAGTTTCACCAGAACATGACAGGATATTACTCATAGTATTTAGATAGTTTATTTTATTACACAGCCGCAACCGAGCTTGAGCTTGAAACCCCGAATGATGATACCCTTCGAGTGCTTCAAGAGCTCCGAAACAATACCAATGGGCAATATAGACGCGCACAATCAGCATATACAACTGTAACAAAGAGTAGGACGCGCGGTCACTCCTCGAGCCGAGGCCAAATTCCAGACCAGCTGAAGCAAGCCGAAGAATACACCGCAGTAGACAGTGACGACCATGTTTCTTCTTTCTGCCTTGTCACTCAGCCATTTTGAAGCAGCGAAAGGGAATACAACCTCGATGATTTGCTCGTGTGAGACTTGGCTGAGGTTGAAGATTGCAGGTCGTCGTCTTATCGCGGCGCTCAACGCGAGGAAGAAAATCTTTGAGCTATCATTACTAACCGATCAGCGCTACCAAGTCACGACTTATCAAACGACCGTCGGTGCCACGCTGATTCCTGAGGATCACAATATTGTCAACTACCATGGCGTTCCACCAGCAAATGTCGCCGTCAGGCGGGGAGACCCAAGAAAAGAAGTATTTAGATCGCGGGAACAAGAAGCCGCTGACCGGGTGCGTAGACCGTACCAGTGCGGGAAGTGTGGTAGCACTAATGGACACAACCGTGCGACCTTCTGCCTTGTTGAGGACTAACATGTAAAATCGTGCCATTCTCTTCATAATACACTGCGAGTATAATTCTGTGACTTTTGGGACAGCAGGTTTTGTGACTTGCCGACCGAGAATGTATGCACGTATGGAACAGTCCCTTTTGACTTGTTCGAAGCGACTATTGGTCATTACTGTTAGGAAGAACGTTTTCCCACCAGCGGATGACCCGGTATGACCTATAGGACTGATCTTGGAATCAACCTAGAATGGAGCGAGCTGCACCAAACTCTAAATTGTATCCAGGTCCGAGCAAGTACGTGTACAAAAGGCGATCAATTACCTCAAGCTATCACGGGAACTCTTTGTCAACATTTACGTCGGAATCGAATTTACACTTCCCAGCACAGAACACTGGAGAATGCACCACTCCGCAAGAGTGCCTACAACCCCTCATCTTGCAACATCAACCTCCTGGTTATTCATCGTATCGGTACTCTGTACTTCCAAGAGTGGTACCCTGTACCAACTGATCATTGACGTAATTTACGGCTGTGTGATAAACTAAAAATATCTAGAATTTAAACGCATCATGTCCCATTCTGGTGAAACTTTTAAATCCAGTCACTTTTTACACTTATCCCATTTTTATAATGTCAGCATAGCGTTGATTCGACCCACTTCTGACTGGTGTTATTGTCCAGATTTAGAAGACCGCGACAGCGCTGCCTTATCGAATAGGGTCAGCGTATATAAATACGGCTTCCATCGTACTGCACAAATTAAAGTACTGTTGTGGGTGTACCGATGGGCTTGCTTAAAAAGAAGGTACGGACGTTGTTATCCTTGCACACTTGACGAGCAAAGTACCGCCGACAGCGTCATGTTTGCTGGGCTACAAATGTGCGATAGCTGACTAGGGAATGGCTAAACACGTCCAACAGTGATAGTACTTTCCATGCTGTGTGCTTTCGACGTTTTTCGCAACGATGAAACAGTATTCAACGCTATTTCTCTCCGATTACAGACTTCTGGGTAGGCGCCTCCATGCTACGATACGTAAGCAAAGCATACTTTCGTATGTAGGCTCCTTTTTGGCGATACTAAGGTGTGTAGCCTTTGTGGTCAAAGCAGTTGAGCACTACTATCTGCTGTAATTATCGATCCACACCACTGTCATCGTTTCTTTGACACATTAGCACGTAAGTTCTAGAATGCAAGTACTGATCACATTAAGAGCTGCGGTGTTGAGCTCGATTAATGCACGTGGAGCGGTCGCCGTGCCTAATTTACATACTACATCCTCGTGACGCTCAAGCACTATCCCCATGACGCCCGGTCTTTCGTGCCAAGCTGATAGATCACAGCGCGGGTAAAAGGTCCACCCTGCGTATGATCGATCCCTGTCACAATACGTACGGTCATCATCGGTTTTCTTGGTCACGTTTTGACTTATGGAGCTACTCTGTGTTGCTCTTAACAACTGCATCGGCAACGTGAGAATGACTCGCTGGATAACTGACTTGTAGGCACAGTCGCTATACAAGCTATTTCTTGTGATACCTCTTGCTGCCCTAGAAAATAGGGATCAAAAACAAAATACGTGATATATCGATCGATACCCGTCACAAGAAGACGCCGTTTCTGACTATTGATGTGCGTGAAATCCACATCAATAGTCAGAAACGGCGTACATGTCCATCAGGGCCATTTGCGATTGCTGGGTCGGTCCATTGTCCTACACAGAAGCTCTCTCTCTCTGCTGTCCGCTACAATCTATCACAAAATTCATCGCAAGACCCGTGACAGCACGTACATTTTATGAGCTTTCGTGGTTCTGTAGCAATAACTTGCTGTGTTTGAGCAGTGCTGCATTGATCAAAAGTCAGGCCAATGGATGTTGTTGAAAACCGTGCATGGTAATGCATGTACATTGCCGTCGATCGGTCTCGCGCAAGTACTGGCATCTGTAAAGCGGCGAATGAAGCGAAAAGGAATCAAGAGGGCATAGCACACTCTCGCTTTGCATTGTATACAGCGTCGCCCTCACCATCGAGCTGCGCTTGTTGTTTTCACATCCATCCATTGCGACAATTGCCACTTCGGCGGCGTAAACGTCGTCAATGGCTGAAAGCAAAAGGAATGGCTGACCACCACGACAGCGCAAGGATACAGCAATACGTAGCGTTACTAAAGCTCAAATCGGGCTGGTAGGCTCTCTTGACTGGACCATTTATCTCGCGTTGAGTATGTCTGTTGATCAATGCCAAAGCTGTCAAAAGATGCTGCTGTGTGCGATAAAGCGTGACAGAAAAATCCGGATCACCCCGTCGCACCAATCGAACGAATGGCAGCACGCTGTTCCAGGACGTCACATGTCCGAGACCATATGGCGAGGAGTATGACGGTGTTTTTGGGAAGGAGTCGTCGTTTTTCTTCTGAATCGATCGAGCAGTTCAATCGAAAACGAGACCCGAGATCGAAACAGCGTCAATAGCAGATGAGACGCGGATACGAAGGTAGTGTCTGACTAGTAGTGAAAGAGACACACTTGGCTGATTGAGAGTACGCGGTGTTGCCGACTTTACTGTAAGTTTAGCTGATACGAATCAAATGGGCCGAGCAGAAGGTTGTTCTTGATGATCAGATTCATTAGCATAAAGTGAAGCGAGCTTGGATGTGACGTTGGTAGTGATTCTCTTGGTCCTTTTCGTACTGCTCGCAATGGTAAAAAAGTGTGAGCCAGAGGGCGCCCAAACTCTCAACTGGCAAGACGCGAGTCTGCGACCAGAAACTTGCTGTGCACGGCTGGTCGTTACCATGGACCAGGCTTCATCAGGGATGAAGTATGGAATCGCTTTCGAGGCGGTTTGTTACAATCAGGAATCGAGGTCATCTCGTAGGATCAGTAGTTGATGCTTTGAAGACCTAGAGAGACGAGAAACAGACCCAGACGGGTGGTCTCTTCTTGGTGCTGCCAGCCATTCCAGAGCTTTTGTTGTAGCACACAAACCCGTCACGTTGCAAGGGGCTGTCTTCTGCCAGCTCCATTCTGGAATTTCCACCATCTTCTTGACCTCACCTAGCGAACCCACGGCGTAGCATGAGATCATCAGGCGGTTCCAAGAAGCTCGATCTGCCTGGTCGTGTCTCCTACTTGAGCGACAACAACGTACGGAACTCGGAAGCTCGAGAGCCAAACTACTCACAGACGAAAACCCCTGATCCATCGAATCTAGAGGGAGGTGCTCTTCGAGACGGAGAAGTACCGAGTCTGCTGAGCAAAGATGGCATCGGGCTGCTCTTCCAATATGCTGTCGTTGGCATCAATTACGGTCTTCTACCCGCGACGATCTACCCGTTTCTTCAGCAATACCTGAACGCCACAGGATCTCAAGTCACCACCGCAACAACGTTGGTCATTTTACCATGGAGTTTCAAAGCGTTCTACGGCATCTTGTCCGACTGCGTCCCTCTTTGTGGCTATCGTCGCAAGTCCTGGATACTCGTTGGGTGGTCCATCTGTGTAGCAATGCTGCTCGTGATGGCCACTTCACCTGCAGGGGACCCGTACTACACTGTATCGTCGGACCGGGACACAAAACCGACCGAGTACACGCCGGAAATTCGGGCTCGCATCAATTATGGAGCTGGTGATCAAGCTGGCAAGTACGTCATGTACATGTTCTTTGCTGCTGTGGGGTACGTGCTTGCAGTCGTGTGCGCCGACAGTGTCGTTGTTGATTTTGCCCAGCGCGAACCAACTGAACGACGAGGGAAGACCCAGTCAGCGATCTACACTGTTCGCACGGTGTTTGTCATCCTGGGTCAGCTCCTTGTTGGCTTCTGCTTCAATGGCGACGAGTACGGAGGCGACTTTAACTTTTCGCTGACGTTTCCACAGCTCATGGCGATTGTTGCGGCGATCACGGCCCCCATTTTGCCAATCACTTGGTTCTTTGTCAAGGAAGAGAAGAAGCCCAGGATCCCGTTCAAGCAATACATGAGTGGCCTGTGGGACCTTCTCCAGAAACGCGCGGTCTACCAGGTCGTGTTTTACCAGTTCTTTCAGAACGTGTTCTCTAGTATCTCGTACACTGCTAGCTCGCCTGTCCAGTCCTACATGGTAGGCGTGACCCCCATCAACAGCACGATCAGTGAAATATTTAGCAACGTGCTTTTTATGGGAGGGATCATGGCTACGTCCAAGTGGGGACTGCAGTGGAGCTGGCGCAAGATGATTCTCTTTACGGGTATCTTTGTCATTATCGTGGATGGCGTCACGACGTATCTCACGATTTGGAATGTGTTCCGCAGTCAATGGTTCTGGCTCGGTTTGCCTATTGCAGTGCAGCTCCCGTATGGCGTAGGTTGGATGATTGGCTACTTTGTTATTGTCGAGCTGTCTGGCATTGGCAATGAAGGAGCTGTCTACGGGATCATCACGATGGTTGGTAACCTCGCGTCTCCTTTCGCTCAAGCTCTCACCCTTGTGATCAACCAGCCGCTGCACTTGACCACGGCTCGTATCCAGGAAGATGACACCTCGATTCGAACGGACCTGACGTATGCAGTAACGATCATGTACGGCATGACGATCTTCTCGTGGGTCTTTCTCGTCTTCCTGCCGCCTCAGAAAGCAGAGACGCAGAAACTGTTGCGCACGGGCGGCAGTAGCAAGATTATGGGCGGCATCACTATTGGATACGTTTCGTTTGCGTTCGTATGGTCACTAGTGACCAACATTATGGCCATGTACCCATCCACGTCGTGTCTTATGATCGCAGGAGGGAGGGGCTGCTAAGTGGTGTAGTTTACTGTGCACAGGAATACAATGTTCATTTCGGGTATACTACCTTCATTGTTGTCTATTAGCTCTGTTTCCTGGTACCTTTGTCTCATGAAACTCTACACTACTATCGTACATACCAGCCAGAGGTCAGATGCATAAGGGTCACGTCTGATGTACTCAAAGTGGCGTCAAGCAAGTGTACTTTGAAACAGGTACGGACATAATCGATGACTACAAACAGAATCAAATCGTGCCAAACCCATTTTTTACAGTCGCCTGGGTGGCACAGCAACGAAGAATACGAGACTCTCACTTCTCGAACACTGCTGCTACACAAATCTCCACGTGACTATACGTTCGTCAACCTCGTGGCCGAATACAAACGTCACGCGAAAAGCTGCACCCATGTTCTTACGATTTAGCAAGGCCGAAGTCGACATTTGAACCACTGCTCTCGCAGATCCAGCGTATCGGTATACCGAGCTGAACGAGACGGGACTATACTCGCTGGGCCTCTTTGGCAGCAGCAGCACCATCATCCTACCGTCTCTACGCTTCTCAGTACTTGTAGCCTAAAAAATCCAGCGGTCTGACCGTGCAGTCACGGAGCAATGTCTACTTTGTACGCCTCGTACTAGCTCGGTCTACGAGGATCTTTATTGAAAGATAACTACGGCGTGTTAATCAATGTATCCAGCAGCCAACCCTTTCCCGATTCAACACCTCAGCAAGGCTAGTGATATCCTACTAATACAATTGCGCGAATCCCGTTCGACGATGCCACGCAGCACAGCGGGAAGTGGCTCGGTCTGACTAGTGAATCAAGTGCGTTCTTAAACGTTTCTGTACACGCACAGCTGTCAGAAATGGATGATATCTGCTCCTGCTTTGTCCAAAGACTAGATCCAAGACGATACCAATCACGAGACAGAGGTCGTGCACGTCATGCAGGAATCATGCGCTCTTCAAAGCTAGGCACTCGGTTGGCTCTGTGCTTGCATCATGTCACCTCTTGATCTCGTCAGCAGCAGCAGCAGCAGTACTCGAGTGATTACGCTCACGTCAGTTTCCGCGCGATCTTGAACAGCTCTTTCTCCGCATTAACAATCCGTCATATTAAATTCCGCCTCTAGCTCGTTGCTTCGCAGCTAACATACACGGCAGTTTGTATCGAGCCTGAGTCGTCTCCGATGATGCTGGACCCTTCAATTACGTAGCCCCCTTATGGTCAATAGATAGCCTGCCGTCAACCAGCATAAAAAGAGCTGACTAGACTCGATGGCGGACAACAAGTGGTACAGGAGGAACTGCAGCTAAATTGGTTTATTTCCGGTTCCATATGACACTCGAATTTGATAATGTTTGCCATAGATTGCTCCATTATATCGCTGCACTTTTACTGTCGGTACCTCGAAGGATGATCTGAGCTTCGTGTGTAATTCGATCAGGAGTTGCGCTCGTAGTATTATAAGCTACATCACGAAAGACTAGTTAAAACAAATCATTAATTGGCCTTTTGCTCCAGGTGACGCCAAGGTATTAGTTTTTTCGTCTGCTGTTCTCTTCCGCTTCTAGGCAACGCAATTCGTTAACCGTACACAAGTGGTCAATCAAAACCGTAAACAAGTAATGGAGATCTCCAAAAGAGCAATAGATCATCGTGAGTGTCGCTACCTCATACCGATTTGAGCTTGACGCGTACGATAACTCACGAATGTCCGTGTCATATGCATCATCTAGTAAAGGCAAAATCTTTGCGTATTGTACTTTTAAGCTCGTGGTGTAAGTGTGGATAAGCCGCTGCGCACAGCTTAACACCAACGATGCTGTGCCAAGCAGGTTGACGTTCGATATGACCTTGTGTAATGTAGACTCAGCGTGCACCTTGATGAGTAAGCCAGCGAAGCTTCAACCGGAATAGTCGGTATAGACCAGTGGAGCAAATGAAGTGAATAGCTTTCGCCGGGGAGGCTATTCCGTAATTTTTATGTTGCTATTCCGTACTGCAAACGGCGTCAAACGTTTTTACGAGTAGCTAATGAGCTAAATAGTTAAATTTAATCCGTATTATGCTATAAATATAGAAGGTCAGAGATGCGGAGATTAAAGAGCTTCCATTGACTAAATTTAGTTTCCTTCATGTCACCTCTTTACACGAGCTTCATTTAACTCGTATAGTGTTGCTGAATACACCACATTCATTTGTGATCGTCCTGTGGTTCAAAATGCCGACAAACGGTACAGGCAGTGTGCGCGCTGACCTGGAGCATACTATACAAGGCGACATTTTTGTTTACACTTGAACTACTGATCAGCAGATATAAGTGTCTGTATGACGGCGGTGCATTTCGTAAGAATTAATTCGCGAGTTACGACCGCGCGTTGGTGAACCCCTTCGTAACTTCACCAAACACCGGATCTTCAGGACAGATGCCGAACGCGAGCGAGACGAGGATCAAGAGGGAATAGCGCTTCGGAGTGACGTCAAAGAGCCATTGGTCACGGTCCGGGATGGCAGCAGCAGGTGGGTTGAACCCAGCAAAGAGCAGGAACATGACGTTCATGAGGACGCCCACAACGGCAACGACTTTGCCACTGGACAGCAAGTAGGCGAGCAGCTGGCCCAGGATCGTCTGCATGAGCACGGAGAGGGAGATGTTGAGCCAGTAGAGCACAGCCGTGCTGAAGGACCAGATGCCGAGGAGAGGGAAGAAGACAATGGTGAAGAGGAGACTGCTGGCAAAGACGTAGGGAGTATCGATGAACATGATGCCGAGGAAGTAATAGATAGTGTTGTACGTCTGCGCGTCGCACTTGCGGTAGTAGACGGCTCGTTTACGCAGGGTGAAGGGCAGACAAGCAACGTACGTCACGTATCCTTGATACAGTGTTGTCATGGAAATGATACCCAAGACTTAGTTCAGCCCTTGGTATGTTGTGTAGTCGGCGTTGACGAGCACGAGACCAAAGATGATGGACAGGATAAGCGCGAGCCAACACCGAGTCAAGTTGTGCGATGGTGATCGCCAGTAAGTTGACTGAAATTGCTGCATGATCAATCAGAGTTGCATCCAGGAAGTAGCAGCTGCTTGTGCTGGAACGCTAGCTTCAATAGACTTTCGGGTGCAGGTGTCGTCACAACAGGTTCAGGTCGACGAGTCAGCAACACTTGGTGGTCCAGAGATTGATTTAGACATCGGTAATCTTCCAGTTGGAGAAATTTAACACGTCTTTAAGGCTCAGCACTAAATCCAGTCAATGGAAGCTCTTTGATCTCCGCACCTCTGACCTTCTATATGTGGCATAACACGGATTACGTTTAACTATTTAGCTAATTAGCTGCTCGTAAAAATGCTTGACGTCGTTTGCAGTACGGAATAGCAACATTCAAAGTACAGAATAGCCTCGCCTGCTTTCGCCTCCTTTGTTTGCCCTATTTAAAGAAAGGAAAAGCATGTTGTGATCTCCTTCATCCACATGTTATTTTGTCACGTCTTAACGGACCCACGATTGGCGTTTGCCGCTACATACCGAAAGTACCAGCTCCATCTTACAATTCTGCGCGGAATGTTCGCAAAAGCTGGGTCAGTCGCTTGAATGTAGCTTCCCTTTCACGGCGACGATGCGAGCGCGTGGAAACGGTTCTCATTTATTTGCAACACATAGTCCAACTAAAAAGTGTAGAATCGGGTGATTTGGTGACGACATTGCTAGCTCGATGTGATGTAAGTAAAACTCGATGGCCACATTTGATAGAATTGCTCAGCAGTGAATTATACTGCTTGACAAGGGGACGTGACAAAGGGCTCAACTGCCGCTACTGTTAACACATCCTACCAAAAGACACATCAGTATTGCGTAGCACCTAATGTTTGCACACATTGGTATTTGATCGAAACCGGCTCGAACTTAGCAGCAGATTGCGCTTGCTCAAGCAAAAGATGCATCGGCTTTATCTGCGGTCAACATCTCTATCGATCATACCACAGAGTGAGCTTAGCTTAATCCTTGCATGTGTTGACGCGCAAGACCCACTTACTTGACGTCGCACTGTAAGGCCTGAAGTTGTATGGGAAGTACAAGCTACTATTCTGATAACAGAATAAGGGGTGCCTTAACTTCACGTACACTCGTAGTGAAGGAAGACGTAAGAAGAAGGATACTCGGTTAGAGTAAAAAGTAGAACTGTATTTATAATAGTTAATGTCTGAATAAATCACTATTTATCTTCATCTAATATGTCTAAATACAAATGTGTAAATCAGTTATCTGCTCACCACTCATTGTGGTCTGTGTGGCGCTCTTCGTTGGTTGATATAATGGCCTATATAACAATTAGAATACTTGGAAGTGCTACAGGATATTGTCCTTATGAAATATTCTGAGAATATAACTCTTATAGTTATATTCTATTAACAATTTCTTATAAATTGTTATGTAACGATTCACCCCGTTACACCACCTGTATCTCTTTGTGACAAATTAGACCACTCTTAGTGGTTTGATTTTGCTAGGCTCACTACAAACAACTCTCTCTCCTTTTTTCAGGAACTTAGCCTGGTTGTCTGGTATAGTACAACTTCTTGGATGCAAAACGAGCAAGGTTTGATATTGTCGTCCACCTTTTTAGTGTAGCAAGTGAGATCGTAGAATCGTCTTGTGCCGTGGGCATTTTCATCTACGTCGATTCCGAGTCATGTAAGTCGTCAACACTCTTTTTAGTAGGCCGAACATGTTGTCAATACGGCACTTTATAGTGAGCTGAGCAGATCGACTTAGCTACGACACTATTTATCAGCTGACTCTACCTATCGCAAATCAGGGGGTTTAACTGCTCGGCTTGTGTATTTTGTGACGAGGCGTTTAAAACGAGCAATTACATATTTCCTGTCGCGCCGATCGCTTAGTGTGGTCGTCACCGTAACCTGCGCTATCCACCACGTCAAGCTAAAACCTCAATGATTCTGGTGCCATGTACCAGCTATTCGAGAGCTTAAGATCGCTGCCAATGAAGGCAAAGGTCCACTTAGAGTAGCCTTTACAAGGTATGTCTCGGGTTGTCCATTGGCTGTAGTTTGGCTCAAAAGGCGTAAAAAGTCGATTGGGCTCTGTTGGAATTGGAATGAATGTTAGAGACCTGTTGGATAATGAAAGAATTTGGGACATTTCACGTCGTTATGTGGGAACAGGTCATTGTCACAATTAGCACTGGTCAAGTCGATATATGGGAATGGAGAACACCGTTACGATAAAAAAGAACACCAGTCCAAACACCTCGAATAGATTTGGTCACATTTTACCCTATTCATACACACAGTTAGATACACATCCTGACACGGTAATGAGCTTAACATTGAAGAAGTGCACGGGTGATAGGGTGCCGAAAACGAGATGGAAAGGGTTGGCAGACGTACAAATGGACGATAGTAACAGTGTAAAGGGGCTACACATCGTAGAGTACTTAGTACCCTGTGTCTTGATTACACGGGATGGCATCCTACTGAAAGAGATTTAGAATACCTTATCGATTTATATGGGCTGACGGGTGTCAGTCACAAGACAGGAAAGATCTTGAAGATTTAAATTTAGGAAAGGAGTGCCTAAATTAATGTGAGGAATTAAGGATATTGTAACGGGGTCACACAAGCCATCGGCTAAATTGGTTGAAGACCTACCATATATGTCATGGGAGACAAGTGTGACCTTAGATTTTATATAAAATGAGAATATCGATTATTCGGTCTTCTCTGAGTTACGGTACTTGCCGTTTAGGTACTTTGTACCGTCATCATTCGATGACTGAGTGATGTGTCAACCATCCATTTAGTTCGAATACTAATCTTGGTACTAGTTCTATTTAGTCTAATGTAGGGTAGTTGAAGTAGAATTTTCCTTGATATAAATTCTGATCAAATTCAGTTCTCATTTTGAGCAGAAGTCTACAGACTTCCACCTTTCGTACATTACGCTTGACAGTTCCTTAGAACTGTCGCGGTTTAGAGAGTACTTAGACTCCTGTATTCCCCTGTGCACATTGTGCGTGTTGTTCCATAGCCTGCAGAAGTCTGAGCTAATATATCATAGAGTCCGCACTAGTTCCGTAGAACTAACCGACTCTTTACTTGATATGTTAGTTCCTTGGAACTAATCGGCGACTAGCCCTCAAACTAATCGGCTGTTAGCCGTAAGCCTCTGGATTGACCCGTAAAAGTCTTCCTCTGACTTTAGAGCTGTGGTAGCTCCGCTACACTTGGTAGCACTTAAAGTCAATCCTGCACCTGATTCATTTTCGACTGATCCTCTGTAAGAGATGAAGAGTCTTGACTACCTCTACGAGGCCCAACGTCTCGAGCTCTGTAGCGGAGCTACATAGCTTTTTAAGTCAGAGGGAGACTTATTTAACAAGCCAACGGCTTACGGCTGACACCCTATTAGTTCTACGGAACTAATATATCAAGTTAAAGAGTCAACCAGTTCTACGGAACTCGGGTGAACTCTACGAGCTGATAGCTCATCTACCGTGTAGTTCTAGAGAACCACAAGCACAATGTGCAGGGAAATAGGAGTCTAAGGACTCTATAAGCTGCGGCAGTTCTAAGGAACTGCAGGGTACAATGTGTGAAAGGGGGGGGGAAGTCTTGGGACTTCTGCTCAAAATGAGAACTGAACTTTGAGTAGATTTTACAACAAGGAAAATCCTTCTTCAACTACCCTACATTAGACTAAACTAGAATCAGTACAAATTCTAGTATTCGAACTAAATGGATGGTTGACACATCGCTCATTCATCGAATGATGACGGTACAAAGTACGTACACGGCAATTACAGTAACTCGGAGAATACCAAATAATCGAACTCTCATTTTATGTAAAATCTAAGGTCACACACATTCAACCATATCATTTAGGGGAGGTTTTGACCAATTTAGCCAATGGCTAGTGTGACCGCATTACACCCTCCCCCATCAGACTGGCGTTAACACAGACCTCACTCGTTTCATTCTCCCAGTAAGACTTATTACAAAAGTAACACACTCACATGGACCGACCTGGACACCTTCTGGAAGATAAGGCTCTAGCCGAATTCCTTGGTGTCGAGGACGTGGACTATGTCAGTGGTAGTGATACTGAAGTCGAGAGGGAGGAGAAATCCAAACCTAACACGCCTGTGCGTGGGGACATTCCCCATCTGGCACCTAATCCGTTTCCCGAACGTAGTGCTGCGACTAAGCTAACAGCGCTGGGAGCGATGCCCCACATAGATACATCCATAATCACTAATCTGCTTGATGAGGAGCAACAGTGCATGCTCGATCAAGGGGAAAGCACACGGCGCAAGTCAGAAGTTCAGACAAAGTTGCAACGACACAGTCAATATGTTCAATCCATCTGGTGTGGAAGAACTAATTCGTCAAGCGTCACGCCATACTTTGGCAACATAGGCCATTGGCCCCGAGGCGAAAACTCCCACTGAAATCGAATGCCGCGAGGCTCTTCAAGAGAGGTACTTGAAACCTACTGTAATGACTTTGAGTTAATACAGATAACGGCTGCAAAATCAGGCCCAAGGAAATCTGGTTCCACAAATTAGGGGTATACCCATCATTATGTCGGAAGATGGGGACGAAATTGCGGAGGACAACGTATTCATAAGCTGTGTGCATAGCGTTCGAAACCTCAGTAGCATGCACGCGCTACGCGAAAGTACCAGTGTGGCAGACATTCGTCTAGAACGAAAGCTTCACTATGACTTTGCGAAATTAAAGGCCAGAAGCCGTCTGCGGGGAGTAAGCATCACGCTCCCGCTATGCTTCGGCTGCTTCTGCAGCCGCGAGTTCACGTCAACCTTTTTACACGAACTCGCCCGCTCTCACTACGACGAGTGAGAATCGTGACGCTCGCCTGAAGTGAGCTCGGCCGTGGTGCTCAAAAACTTTAACGGCGTATGATCAGTCTTGCCGCAGGAGAATCTCAAATTACCATGAGGTTTTAGACTTAGGGTACCCACGCCACTTCATCAGATATTAGTAGTGATCATGACGAACGACGTCGTTGATTTACCCGCTCCACATGGAACTGTAAGTTCCCTTTCTTATAAAGCAACGCTGGTGGCGGTCGGAGTATCGGCTGAAAGCCTTGCTGAGTTGGTGAAGAAAGTGGAGGATCTCCGTGAGACTTTGGGTCAGACTCAGAACGCCCCGGGCGAAGCCTGATCTCGTCTGGCGACGTTGGAAGGCGATCGCGCCCGTCTTCGGATGATTGAGTCACGACAGACTCATGTCGAGGCTCAACTTGACCTCTTAATTCGGATGCAACATCCTGTGGCAACGCCAATGTACGCAGCGCAAGCGCCTTCAAGTCAACATGGGACGGATCCCGGTATGTCTTAAGAAGGACGCATCTTCGCTTTAAAAACAGCTGACAATACATTTGTAGTTACATTTTAAGCATTTAGCAAGACTTGGTCTCCGACTCTATAACTTTCAATACAATTTCTGCCTTTGGCATCTGCTTGTTCTTTTTGTTTATCTTGGCTATCGCCAATGTGTCTCGCACATGTCGTAATACATTCAACCTGGTTGCAAGGAACTCACCAACCTGATTCTGAACAGTGGCAGGGCTGACATCAGCAAGCCGATCGGCAATCCCTCCCCCACAAATCCCGGAACCACGGAGTGGTAGCGTTAATGGGACGCGTGGATGGGGGAGGACGTTCACATAGAACGGGGTGTAGCCAGTCGAGGCATGGACGCGCAGACGGGTGAGGCCGTTCACATAGAACGGGGTGTAGCCAGTCGAGGCATGAACCGAATTGTTCAAGGCAAATTCGACCACCGGAAGCATGGAGCTCCAACGCCGAGGCTATCTGCGCAAACACAGCGCAAAATGTCACCAATGACACGATCAACGCGTTCAGTTTGACCATGGGTCTGCAGATGATCCGCGGTGGACATGTCCAATCTGGTGCCGATCACCTTGAAGATGGACTTCCAAAACTTCTCCGTAAAGCGAGGATCTCGATCTGATACAATTGCCAAAGGAAAACGTGTTGACGAAACACGCGATCGATAAACAGCTTTGCTGTACGTTCACCATCAATCAAGCCGGCACAGCCGATAAATGAGTCATCTTACTCAAACGGTCAGAAAAGACCACAGTACCAGCGTTGCCGCCCAAATTGGTTGGTAAACCAAACACAAAGTCCATACTGATAGATTCCCAACAACCCGTGGGTATAGGCAAACTAGCCAAAGGCGCAGCCGCATGAGCGGAGGGTTTGACCCGTTGACAAGTTTCACACGTACGCACATATGTGCTCGCCCATTTATATAATTTGGGCGACCAATTTTTTTTGTGCTGGCTAAGAAAGCCATAGGTCTTCTCTCGACCGAGATGACCGCTCAAAGCTGTATCATGCGCCTCATTGAGGATGTGATACTTCAATTTCTCATCGTGAGGTACTGCGATGCGCGGAGTATCCGCCGCATCCGTGCTATAGCACAAGAGGCCATGATCGAAAGAATATCGATATAGCCCTGCACGCGAGCGAGCCGACAATTTAATCTCCGAGTCTTTAAATTAATCATAATTGAGTGCGCTTAACAACGCGACACACTGATCATCCTAGGAACAATCCGCACAGATTAAAAACCGGGGTAGAAGACGACAGAGTCGTAGCATGAGCAAGCTCAGAATCCGGCCTGCGTGATAACGCATCGGCCAAAGCATTTTGCTTATCGGTTTATGCTTTACCTCGAAGTTATACTCATTAAAAAATGAAAGTCAACGGGCCATACGTTGCGAGAGATGAGGCGACTGGGTCGCAGTACGCAACGACGCATGATCCGTGTCGATTACAAACGGCTCTGAGCCAAGTAGATGCACTCTGAACCTATCAATAGCCTTCTTCAATGATAGTGACTCCTTTTTATGAATTAGACATTTTTTTTCTCTAACTTTTAGCTTGCGCGACTCGTATGCGATGACACGTTCATGTCCATCGACATCTGTCTGAAATATTGCACCGCCAATGGCAAAGATTAGATGCGTCACAGAAGACTGTAAAAGTTTGCTCCGGGTCAGGCAAAGCCAAAATTGGACCATGAAGGAGACTCTCCTTAACAGCTTGAAAAGCTTGTGCCTGAACCGAGTCCCAACACCAAACCGCGTCCTTTTTTAGAAGGTTGGTTCATAACCTTGCCATGGCAGCATAATTTGCACTATACTTGTGTGAGTAATTGGGTAAACCAAGCCATTTACGCAAGTCTTTTGGGTTAGACGGAACCGGCCAATCCACAATGGATTTTTCCTTAGCGGGATCTGTCCGTAGGCCGCGCTTTCCAATGAAGCACCCTAAAAAAGGTATTTCTTCAGCACCAAAAACGCATTGAGATGCTTTTGCATACAACGTTTTGGTGCGCATGCACCCGAGCACTGCTCGTAAATGATCAACGTGATTTTAATACATCTTATCTTTCTTGTTCTGCACGGCTATGGAAAAAATGTCATCAAAATAGCTTTTTGCATATTCTCTACGAGGGCGGAACAACTGCGTCACAAGACAATAAATGTTACGGGGGCATTAGAAAATCGCTGATGCATAACAAGCCACTCCCAAAGCATGCCACTCGGCGTGCTCAACGCTGTGAGCGGGATATCATTCACTCGCATGAGCAGTTGGTAATAACCGTCGACTAAGTCGAGTGCGCTAAACAAAATGCATCTCACTATAGCGTTCTGAAGAACATCCTTTACAGTAATAGGTGTCTGCACAGGTTTAGCGGTCGCCTTGAGCTTGTTGTAAGCGTTCACAATACGCCACTTACCATTGGGCTTTCTGACAAAAATGATGGTGTCAGATGCGGGAATTTGCTCTCCCGCACCATGCCTGCCGCGTGCTTTGTACGAAAAAAACTCGTCAATGACGTCACACTGTTCCTAAGGCTATGTCCATTGCAGTGTGACACAATATATGGTCCCAGGGACCAGGTCAACTTTCATGATGCACACCTCTGTCGGGAGATAGAGTGAAGGGGGATCATGACACACCACGTCCTGAATTTTCTTTAACAAAGGATAGAAGGGATGCGAAGAATCCTTCAATATGGCAGATTTACTGCGAGCTCTGAGTGCAGCTTTAGTGTCTTTAAGGACTGTTCCATCTACAAGGGATGACGAGCTCAACTCAGGAATAGGTCTAAGGAACACCATATCGGACAAAGCACCAGCCTTTAAGGCTTGATGAATTCGTCTACAGATATTTCGTCTAGCTCTAGCAGAGCGTTAATCGATGGGAGGGCATCAAGGCCAACTTCTCCATCAATCACATTCGACACCCCATTGACTAATGTGTACAACTGTTCACTAGGGTCCTTCTGGGTCATGGCAAAAGCCTTTCTTTTTATAGCAGCCATCTGGCGTCGCTGTCGTCTCTTTGCAGTGACTGAACACTTCAACCTGTTAGGAACATCCAGTTCCACGAGGTGAAAAATATCTTCAACCTCAACCTGCTCTCTCGGACATTCGATGCCATTACCGACATTAAGTTTGGTGCCCTCCCGGCCGACCCCGCTCTGTGGACAGTTATCCACTATTTAGCATCTGTTGAGCATACATCTTGATGCCTTGGCGCATCGCCAACAATGTCATTACCGACATTAAGTGGGGTGCCATCACGGACGACCTCACTTTGGGGATGCTTACGGGCCACTCCACGCGCATCCCAGGGATCACACCTAGGATGACTCAGCTTCAAGCCATCAAAGTTTCCAGCATTCAGTGATTCACTGTCATTACTAGTTTCACTCAACGAAATACGTGCCATTTCCTATTGTCAATGACGTCAGAATTAACTAACTCAGACACTCCAATGTCCATCACACTGACATATTCCGTCAGTGGCGCGCGCCAATAGCGTATTTGTAGCCTAACAAAGGTGGGTTCATGACTCTTTAAAGCTTCACTAGGAACATTGCGCGTTGCGCCAAAGGTCTTCGACCTCCAATTAATCCATGGTTCATGGCGTTCCAGCCAAGTAATCCCAAGGATGAGATCATATCTAAAGTCCAAATACAGGACAAGAAAACGTCTGATACTATCGAAATCTAAAAATTACACACCTAAGTTCAATGAAACTTTAGGTACGGTGACAAGAGTACCTGTCGCTAAGCGATCAGTGATAACATCACCCTTATGCGCTTTCAGCGCCTCATCATTTTGCTGACATCCCTCTAGGGACCGGCGTCTAGCATAGTTGCCTGAAACTCCAGAGTCAATTAATGTTGACCACGGCTCTTCAAAGCCCTTAATTTTAGCCAAGACCACTAACAAGCCTGGCTTACACTCTTTTCTCGTGGAAACTTCCACAAAACCGTCTAAGGCTAAGCCCTGTCTATCTTTACCACCTAAAGATTCGATGAGCCTAGTTCCTCCCCAGCAGGTATCCCCGCGCCTACTGGCAGTTGCCGTTTTCCCGCTCAGTACCCAATTTCGGGTCAGGAGGCGGATTGCGGCTCGGCCGACTTTGAAGCGGCTTCCGCAGTGGGCACTGAGGGTGCAAGTGCTTAGTGCCCCCGCACTTGTAACATCTAACTAGGTTACGTTGCTGTTCAACAGCCAGAATATCTCTCTCTTCTTCTTCAGCATGGCTGAGGTCCATGGGCTCAGCCGTGTCTAGTGATCTTTATACATGCCCATGAGTGCCATGGCGAGCGGCTTTAAAGTTAGACCCAGCATTCGACGCTATGTCTAATTCCCTTTCGAACGTTGAGGGGTGGAAAAGGAAGACTTCCGTCCCCGCGATCCCCGTACGACGGTCCTCCATAAAATTGGTGACATGGATTTGCTCTGAAAGAGGGTCCAGCTGCATAGCAGCTCTGAGAGTTTGCAACTCTTGGTCACAGTCCGGTAGTTCTCTCTTTCACTGCCTGGCTGCTAGGAATCGAGAGCGAACATGATACGCTTGATTCGGAGGCGCGAACACGCGAGACATCTCTCGTTTAAGCGAATCCTATGTGGGAAATGCAGCGTTAACCGACGCATCACAGGTAAGAGCCCATTCTTTGGCTTTACCACCAAGCTTAGACATGGCAAGGCCAACTTTCAGTCGCTCCGATTGAAGCAAGGCGGCTTTAATGGCCATCGATTTATCGTATCCAGAGGAGGAGACTTTCTCCCTCTTCCCCTCAAAAGAATTATCGCTAAGAGTGAGCGGGCGAGTCTTTGACTCACTGTCAGGTACTGAAATGTACCGTGTAGGTATCGCTGGGGCTAAATGGTCGTGGACCTGCCCTATCAGCGTAGCCTCAAACTTTATAAATGCATCAAGGCGTGCATTGAGCACATCTGGGCCTTGGGCCACAATGTGATCGACCTGATCGACCTCAATCAACACTCTGAACTTACCGAGCGTGTAACGGGGTCTTACGAGTCATGGGCTAAATTGGTCAAAACTTCCCCTAAATGACATGGTTGAATGTGTGTGACCTTAGATTTTACATAAAATGAGAATATCGGTTATTCGGTCTTCTCTGAGTTACGGTACTTGCCGTTTAGGTACTTTGTACCGTCATCATTCGAAGAATGAGTGATGTGTCAACCATCCATTTAGTTCGAATACTAATCTTGGTACTAGTTCTATTTAGTCTAATGTAGGGTAGTTGAAGTAGAATTTTCCTTGATATAAATTCTGATCAAATTCAGTTCTCATTTTGAGCAGAAGTCTACAGACTTCCACCTTTCGTACATTACGCTTGACAGTTCCTTAGAACTGTCGCGGTTTAGAGAGTACTTAGACTCCTGTATTCCCCTGTGCACATTGTGCGTGTTGTTCCATAGCCTGCAGAAGTCTGAGCTAATATATCATAGAGTCCGCACTAGTTCCGTAGAACTAACCGACTCTTTACTTGATATGTTAGTTCCTTGGAACTAATCGGCGACTAGCCCTCAAACTAATCGGCTGTTAGCCGTAAGCCTCTGGATTGACCCGTAAAGTCTTCCTCTGACTTTAGAGCTGTGGTAGCTCCGCTACACTTGGTAGCACTTAAAGTCAATCCTGCACCTGATTCATTTTCGACTGATCCTCTGTAAGAGATGAAGAGTCTTGACTACCTCTACGAGGCCCAACGTCTCGAGCTCTGTAGCGGAGCTACATAGCTTTTTAAGTCAGAGGGAGACTTATTTAACAAGCCAACGGCTTACGGCTGACACCCTATTAGTTCTACGGAACTAATATATCAAGTTAAAGAGTCAACCAGTTCTACGGAACTCGGGTGAACTCTACGAGCTGATAGCTCATCTACCGTGTAGTTCTAGAGTACCACAAGCACAATGTGCAGGGAAATAGGAGTCTAAGGACTCTATAAGCTGCGGCAGTTCTAAGGAACTGCAGGGTACAATGTGTGAAAGGGGGGGGGAAGTCTTGGGACTTCTGCTCAAAATGAGAACTGAACTTTGAGTAGATTTTACAACAAGGAAAATCCTTCTTCAACTACCCTATATTAGACTAAACTAGAATCAGTACAAATTCTAGTATTCGAACTAAATGGATGGTTGACACATCGCTCATTCATCGAATGATGACGGTACAAAGTACGTACACGGCAATTACAGTAACTCGGAGAATACCGAATAATCGATACTCTCATTTTATGTAAAGTCTAAGATCACACACATTCAACCATATCATTTAGGGGAAGTTTCGACCAATCTAGCCCATGACTCGTAAGACCCCGTTACACGATCGGTAAGTTTAGAGTGTTGATTGGGGTCGATCAGGTCGATCACATTGTGGCCCAAGGCCCAGATGTGCTCAATGCACGCCTTGATGCATTTATTAAGTTTGAGGCCACGCTGATAGGGCAGGTCCATGACTATTTAATGTAGCGGGGCACGCTGAAGCTTGTACTGATGACAGTACAAGCTACTTATTCTGACGACAGAATAAGGCGGTGCCTTGGAACTTCACGTACACTCGTACGTGCAGAGGAAGACGGTAAGAAGAAGCGAGTACTTGGTTAAAGTAAAAAGTAGAACTGTATTTATAATTGTTAGTGTCTGTTAATAAACCACAGTTTACCCTCATCTAACTATGTCTAAATACAAATATGCATATCAACTATCTGCTCACCACTCATTGCGTGCGTCTGTCGTGGCGCGTCTTCGTTGGTTGATATAATGGCCTATATCAATCAATTAGGAACTACTCGTAAGTGCTGCAGAATATTTGTCCTTATGACAATATTCTGAGAATACAACTCTTATAGTTAAATTCTATTAACAATTTCTTATAAATTGTAATGTAACGGTTCACCTTGTTACATCACCCCCCCCTTAACCATCAGTCACTTAAGTGACTGATTGACTAAATGGATACTCGTCCCAAATCATTTGGGACAGGGTTTGCACTTGTTGGTCCGAGTCCACTTTCCAACAGTTCATCGCATGCCAAACAAGCCCATGCGGTGCGCGAACAAGGCCGCTGAGAGCGCGTCTGCACGTCTCTGTGCGGACGCCGAAGCAGAAACAACAGCAACTGATGTCTCATCGGTTGCTGAAGCGACTCAGCCTGTATCACCTGGTGATGTAGACTCTCGTCATGAAGACACTCATGTCTTCACAGAGTATGAGCTCGGTGTCTCATACTCTCCTGATGCGGAAGACGGATCCGTAACGAAGGCGGTTGAAACCAAGCCGCCTTCCAAGCGTGGCATGGATGATGCTACGCGTCGTAGCATCTTTGGTTCGCTGATTCGTCCGACGATCCATCGCCAAAGCGAAGGCGTTCGAAGTCGCAAGACTCGGGCGCTCACAGTGGTTTCGGTTCTCTAATCGACACCACTTCGCAACGAAGTGCCAGTACTTCTGTCGGCACGTCGCAGAAAGAGCGGGACCGCAGCGTGTTGCGTCTCGCTCCCGAAAAGAAGGCATGGCTGCCTCCAAAGTCAGTCATGGATCGCTTGTCGGCGACGACAAGTGATCGCTATCGAACACGATTGTTCGATTTATCAAGGTACCATCACCTTGACCCCAGTGCGAAAGACTATCACACTGAGAATGATTTCTTCATCGATGCTTTCTTTAAACAACGATGGTACATTGGGAATCACAAACGTGATGGTCCCTCACTGCTTCAGGCGTGTAACGCTTACATCCATAACCTTGAGGATGTAGGTCGTGACGCTTGGAACGACAAACTTATCAAAGCTCGTGATAAGTTTGAAAAGAGAACCCTGACAGGTGCACGCTACAAGCTGCATCGTCTGTCTAAGGAGGGTGATTTACCCTGTCTTTCCTGGGGAGAACCGTGCCCTTGTTGTGTAAACAACTCAGCGCGCGCGCCTTAGGATGCTTACCTCCTTAATAGCCCGTGGTGGCGCGTACGTATCTCTAGTGAGATGTACGAAGGGATTGACAACCTGAAATCCCTTTGAGACCGTGTCGGGAAGACTTTCTCCGGCGTTCCTTCTGCGGAACAGGATGTGCCGCGTCTTACTGCTCAACCAGACCCAGTACGTCAATCATCAGTTGGAAGCGGGGCTCCCAAGTATCCCAGGACGGGGGATAACCGCGCCACCGGACGAGGTAACTCGTCCGACGTCCGTTTACATCGCGGTGGTCCAACAGCTGCTCAACCAGATAGCGCTGGCAACCGCGAGAGTCCTCCAATGGAGGTGAAGGGGGAGGCGGGAAAATGCTCTCAAAACTATCGTGGGGGAGCGTGTTTCCCCGAGAGCCTCTTTGATCGCGTAACTCTTGCGTTGCGCAGCGACCTCGAGCATGAGCGGGACAGGCGTCTTCAACTGGCGAACACTGTCTTGAAGCATCAATCTGAGTTTGCCTATGCTCAGCTTGCGAACAAGAGAGCTTTGACATCTCTTCGTGACGAGCTAAGGGCAGCTCGTGAGATTGTTGATCGGTCTCGGGATGAGATAACTGCTCTTCAGACCCTTGTTGATATCCACCATCGGGAGCACAAGGCTCTCTGTGGGATGCTTGAGCGCAAGGGCGTTCTTCATCGGAAGAAACAGCGTACTGATGGTACGGCTTAAGCCGACCAACGTAAATCGTGGGATGCGTTCGCATCTTACGTGGCAGTTCGATCGTGTGTGCGTTGCCTAGGCGATACAATACACGAAATGGGCCGATGCACTTGGGTAGAAGTTAACTACTACCCAAGTTAGTCACTACATGCTTTGGTAGGTTAACCGTAGACAGTAGGACTAAGTCACCTTTATATAATAAACGAGTGTTTGCCCTTCCATTCTTATCAGCGTTTTACTTTTGCTCTTCCACCGTTTCGGTGATGGAGTCTTGCACAAAACGGACTACCGTTTCACGAGCCAGTATGAACTCATCTGATGACTCGTTAGCTTCAGTGCGCTGTGAGTGCCCTGCAGCGACATCAATCGTTTCTTCAGTGAGGGCTTCCGCACTCTCACTGGCATCATCTTCTTCGATATCGATGTCATCGATATCGGCATCAAACGCAATGACCTCTTCGTCAGAGCGTGATGAGCGTGAACCAATTTGGTGTTTGCTCGCACGAGTCTGTCCCCCCCTTAAACCAGAGTTACACTCTAGTAAGGTGGGTACACGCGGATGGCGCAAGCCATTCACGTAAAACGATGTATGTCTCGTGGACGCATGCACCGAGTTGTTAATGGCAAACTCTACCATTGGCAAGAACTCACTCCAACTCTTAAAGGAGTGTACGTATCCTCGAAGTATCTCTTCTAGGGTACGATTGGCTCGTTCTGTCTGACCATCTGACTCTGGATGATCAGATGTCGACATCTTCAAGCGCGTTCCGAGTGATTTAAACACGGAACGCCATAAAATTGGCAGTGAAGCGTGGATCTTTGTCTGATACGAGTTCACGGGGCAACCCACGAAGTCGGAAAATGGTGTCGATAAAGACACAAGCACAGCCACTTGCCGTGATTGACTCTGGTCCAGCCACAAGGTGTACCATTTTGCTGAATCTGTCAACAAATACAAGAATCCCGTACTCTTGCGTGCGTCTTTGGGTAAACCGAAGACGAAATCCATTGAGATGGATTCCCAGCACTCAGCCGGAACTTGTAGAGACTGTAAAGGTGCATGCAGTGAAGTACTTGACTTCACTCGTTGACAGACTTAGCATGCGCGAACGTACTTTCGCACAAACTGATACTGGCCGGGCCAGTAAAAGTCTCGACTCACCGTGAGATATGTTTTCTCCCGGCCACGATGTCCTCCTATAGGAGCATCGTGATACTCGAACATGATCCGCAAACGCATATCAGTATCATCTGAGATGACAACACGTGTTGTGTCACCAGAAACGGCTGTATAATACAGTAAACCGTTACGAGTAGTGTATCGGTCGGATGCAGATCGATACGCAGACGATAATCGTTTCAGCGATTCTCGAGATGGTTGGGAGAGATGTGTCAACAACTTCACAATCTCACCATCTTGGGCATACGCCCGCCTCACATCATCATGTAACGTTGAAGATGGTATTGAGGATGTCATAACCGCGACAGTGGCTGTCTCACTGTTGGGTTTCACCACTGGTTCAAAGTCGGGCCGACGTGAGAGTGCATCAGCGACGACATTAAGTCGTCCTGGTTTGTACTCGACCGTAAAGTTGTATTCCGCAAAGAATGACAACCACCGCGCCGTTCTTTGTGAAAGGTGCGGGCTGTTCACTGCCGTGCGTAATGACGCATGGTCAGTGTAAACAATGAAGGGTCTATCTCCTAATAGATAGACTCTGAACTTCGCGAGCGCATACTTCATGGCAAGGGGTTCCTTGTCATGCACTGGATAGTTCCGCTCAGCTGGTTGCAGCTGACGCGACTGATAGCAGACGAAGCGTTCAACGCCTTCAAGACCGTACTGCATTAATGCACAGCCGATAGCGAAATCGCTGGCATCACAGACCACATGAAATGACCTGTCCTGATCGGCTATTGCTAGGACTGGGGATTGTATCAAGCTCTGCTTTATACCATCAAAGGAGCGCTGACATTCAGCGTTCCATTACCACCTCTCGTTCTTTTTCAACAAACGAGAGAGGTGTACAGTCATCTCGGCGTAATTGCGTGAATACTTGTGCAAATACGCCGCTAGCCCAAGAAATTTTCGAAGACCTTTGACACCAACCGGCACAGGCCAGTCGGTGATCGCCTTGATCTTTTCGGGATCAGGACGTACACCGTTCTTACCAACAATGCATCCAAGAAGTGGTATTTCGCTTGCTGCAAATATACACTTCTTGAAATTGGCACACAATCGATGCTATCGCATGATTGTACGAACCTGTCGGACGTGGTGTTTGTGAACCTCAACATCTGAATTTCCAGCCATAGCCCGTCTATGGATGAAAACGTCATCGAAATAACTCGGTGCGAATTCTCGTACTGGTCTCAACGGATGTGATACACATCTGTTAAACGTGGCAGGGGCAATACTAAGCCCTTGTGGCATTACTAGCCATTCTTAGAGCATGTCGCTAGGCGTGCTCACTGCGGTATAGGGTAGATCCCGTTCTCGCATAAGGATTTGATAGAAGCCATCCATCAAATCCATGGACGAAAAGATGGTACTCTTTGACATACCATCAATGATTACGTCCTTCCTCGGTATCGGCGTCTGAGCCGGTACCGTTGCAGCGTTCAATTTGTTAAATGCATGCACTATCCGCCACCCTCCTGTTGCTTTTCGCACGCAGAAGGTCGGAGAGCTATGTGGGGAAGTTGATTCCCTCACATGGCCCGCAGCTAAACGATCGGCAAAGAATTTGTCGATGACGTGTTCACGAGGCAGTTGCCACTGCTTCATGACACAGTACTTCGAGCCTGGTTTAAGCTCGACCTAGTGTCGAATACCTTTATCCTTCGGTAATTCGCACGGAACAGTTTCAGGGAATACGTCCTTGAATTCAACCAAATCTACATAGAGAGGATTAGGCTTGAGCGATTCCCACGATTGGGAGTCACATCGCTCAACTCGTGTCTTTTCATCTAGGACACTCTCGTCCATAGATGAGCTACTGAGAACTCTCTCGTTCCCAGTAAACACTGTTGCTGACCTTATGTCGGTTACACACTCGTCGTCAGCGACGAGTACGCAGATCTGCTTGACTTTGCCACTACGCAGATCACGCAAGAACCTTTTGTGTTCGAGCGTTGGCAACTGAGTGATCTCCGAAGTTAACTTCGGAGGCGCAATCAGATCAAATGTATAAGCGCCTACGCTTGATCCGTTATTGACAATGACATTCAATGTCTCTGTCATTTCCTGGGGACTTATTCCCTCAGGTTTCGAAGGACTTATCACTTCGGCTTCCCGGGAACTTATTTTCTCGGGTTTCGGTGAACTTATTTCCACCGTATCTGTAATATCGAAACTTATTCCCTTAACTTCCTCTAGCTGGGGTTGCGCAACCACAGCGAGATCCTCTACGAAAGACTCTCCAGTCGATCTAGGATCATCGTTTCGCTTAACCTGAGCGATCGATTGTTTCTCTTCTAGGTGTTCCTCGCTAGGGATACATCTTTGTCCCGGTCCACTCGACTTATTCGAGTGGTGGACCTTCGGCGCAGCCTGTGTTTCCTCACAGCCGCCGGAACTTTGCTCCGAAGTGTAACTGTTTGTTACACTAAGGTTTTGTGCAGTCGTACTAACGACCGCACCACTAGTGAGGCCATCGCACTCACTCGTAGTAGATCCGCACGCTTGTGGACGCTCCAGAACGTTCATCAGATGGCCATCTGATGGACAAGCGGCAGGCATCGTCACTGTTCGATGTTGCCAGTTTACTCGTGGTTCGTACCTTCTGAGCCACGGTATTCCAAGGTGACATCAAATTTGTCATCCGAATCCAATACGATAAGTCATCGTCATATTGGGTATCTTCAAGCGTATAGTGGATCTTCACTATACGCTTTATGACGATTACGGATGCGCCTGTCGCAAGACGTACCGTCATCCTCGTAGGAGGTGTGTCACATTCACTGAACTTAAAATGACCATCTTCTAGCGATTGGCGTCGCACAAAATTGTTGGACGCCCCACAATCGACCAGAGCTCGAAGGGACAACTTATTCGTCACTTCGAGTTTCTAGGTAATGAGTGAGATCTCATTACCTAGAGCAACAACGCACAACGTTTGTGTGTTGGGAGCAACCTTCATCAAGAGGCCTGCAAATTCTCTTGACGTTGCTGGACCAGTAGGGTGCTCCGCATCTACTGATCCTGTCCGTTTTTTGACGGTCCATCCCGTTGTTGCGTCTTTGCACCAACAGCGGACCCGCATCCCTGCCCCTTTCTCATGGGTGGACGGTCACTACGCCCAGTGTTGCGAGACACTGGACGAGGGGCACTACACTCGTAAGTGTAGTGTCCTGTCTTTTGACATCTGCTGCATCTCTGCAGCTTCTTGTAGACCATCCGCAAGACCCTGCATGAACACCAAAACCAACGTGTCTTCATCAACCGGGTTGGAACTTATACAACTCGTGAGATGTCGTATATGTTGTGCGTAAGCGTGCACATCACGCTTACCTTGTTTGAGCTTCAAGAGTTCAGTTAGAGCTCTGGACTCAGCTCTAGGCGGACGTTTTTCTGAGCCGCGACTTGAAGACTTCCAACGACCCAAACGCATATGGGTCGTGCAACTTGAGCCCCAGTGCCCAAGTCTTGGCACGTCCTGCCAGATTTGGATGGGCAAATGCAACTTGCATATCCCCGTCGTCGATGCGACGCGCCCTTATGGCGTCGTCTAATTCGATGAACCATCTCAGAAGGGGGTACTATTCGACTCCCCTACACTTGGAGATGTCAATCTTCAAGGTCTCGGGTCGACGCGAATGCATCGACCCACCAGCAGCAGCCTGCTGCTGTCTCAACAGTTCAAGCTGTTGAGCACCCTGTTCTCTCAACAACTCTGCTTGTTGAGAACCTTGTTGGTGAAGCAAGGATACATTCAGCGTCAAGTTCATTTTGAATGAACTTGGCGATAGTAGCATGTCGGGCATCTCTATTGAGAGCCTCTAGCATGACGCTAACAGCATGGATGCCCATGGTTGAACCCATCCGTTCAACCGCATCCCATTCGACATCGCTCAAATGGGAGTAGCCGTCACGCGTAGCGTGAAATCTTTGGTCATCTTCATCATCTAACATGAATATGTTAGATGTGAACGTGGTCCTCGGACGGACTACGAAGTGCTACCAGGTGTAACGGGGCACCCTGAAGCTTGTACTGATGACAGTACAAGCTACTTATTCTGATGACAGAATAAGGCGGTGCCTCGTAACTTCACGTACACTCGCACGTGCAGAGGAAGACGGTAAGAAGAAGCGAGTACTTGGTTAAAGTAAAAAGTAGAACTGTATTTATAATTGTTAGTGTCTGTTAATAAATCACTATTTATCCTCATCTAACTATGTCTAAATACAAATATGCATATCAACTATCTGCTCACCACTCATTGCGTGCGTCTGTCGTGGCGCGTCTTCGTTGGTTGATATAATGGCCTATATCAATCAATTAGGAACTACTCGTAAGTGCTGCAGAATATTTGTCCTTATGACAATATTCTGAGAATACAACTCTTATAGTTAAATTCTATTAACAATTTCTTATAAATTGTTATGTAACGATTCACCCCGTTACATTTATCCTCAGCGATACCTACACGGTACATTCCAGTACCTAACAGTGAGACAAAGGCTCGTCCGCTCGCTCTTAGCGTTAAGACTTTCGACGGAAAAAGGGGGGGTCTCCTTCTAGGATCCGTGAAGTCAATCCGGCTCTTAATACCGCGATGCCTTGATCTGGACGTCGAGAAAGGCTACTTTCTTCACGTACTTGACTGTTGACCTGTTGGATGCTAAAAGCTATTGCTGTGATATGAACGCCCCTGATGCGTGCTCTTTAGCACACTTTTGGCAATGTGGATACTGCCATACTACGCGGCTGCCGCTGATCCAGAACGTTTGCAACCGACATGAGCTAACGATTCCGTATATAATGCGACGAGGCGACTGGGTGCAGCGACATGACAGCACATCACCGTTGATGCTCATGGCTGCGGCTGTAAACAATGGTCGCAACGTAGTCCGTCTTGCTCAGCATCAGTGTAGCAAACGAACGCCAATGTCGTCAAGTCGGGGCTCGAGTACGGACGTGCAGTGATACCATAAGAGGGACAAGTGCGTACGCAGCACGTACAAAAAAACGTGGCCACGAGACCATTCGAAATGCGAGAATAGTCAACTGAAAAAGTGGAATCGCTACAACTCTATAGCGGCCACTCATTTGATAGTGCGGGAAGTAGCAAGCGGACACTACAGGTTGAGATTGAGCAAATCGAGACCTTGGAATGCTCACACGTTTCGGCTTAGCTTGCTCGTCAAGCAAACCCGTCAAGACGCTCTGTATGAACGAACACTCTATGCATTTCTTTTTTAAGCCTTTCCGCCGATCGTGCATTCGTGCACCTAGAAGCGTGATGATTTGCTTCTGAATTGTCGTTTTAGCAAAGCCCAAGCTTTTCATCCTGTGTAGGTCAGGGCGGGTATAGTGTACCTACGCTATCAAGAAACCGTCCCGGACAACTACAGCATGATCTTACCATACCGTCGACTGGTTCGACAACCAAGAAGACGCCATAGGAGGCAATCAAATGTTGATCAAAGGTTGACGACCAATGGCTGAGCAAGTGATATCACTACCCTACTCTTCCTTGGGACAAGCTAGACTCTGACTCCTCTGACAGTAAAGAGAGCGACACACGTCTCGTCGTGGTGTTTATCCTACGTTTACATGTACATTCCTAGCATTGAGCGCTACGATAATCTATTTATCACCGAGAGCGTTTTGAAAGCGACGCGTACACAGAAGTGCCTCGTCAGTAAGGATCGTGAGTTGTCCAAAACTACGTAAGCGACATTGACATAGCGAAACGAAGAAGCTTGTTCATTCACCCAAGGTGCACCCCGAGGCAACCATTGATGCAGACTGCCACGTGTCGAGAGTCAGTTTCCAGACGTACAAGTCGTGCCGCCAGAGATAGATCCGGTAGGGTCCATCCCGGACAAAATCCTACCCTTGTCTGTGCAACCTGCAGCCCCCTGCTGCGTGCTAGATACGAGCTGAATCGCGCCAAATGCGGTCTCAAAGAATGGACACCACTTGCGCATGAGCAATGTCACATCGTGGCGCAAGAGACGCGAACGCTTGCGGAATTGCGATTGCGTCTACCATTATACCATGTTTTACAACGCAAATCGAAGAAACACATTTGAGCGATGCAGCGAATGCACGACGACGAGTGGATCGAACGTGCTACAACTTTTGTACGGTCTTGCATTCAACGAGTATTGCAAGGGCTCAACCCAGATGGCAAGACAGATGCTACATAGTCGAAGGCTGCCTCTCTTCGCACCCAACCCAGACTGTTTATACACTTGCTAACAGCATAGCCGTGGACAGTAAGCAGGCCTTACACTACGTAGTGGCAACCTGTGATAGAACGAACGTCAAGAGCGTCTACGGTAGTGAGTATAACTTAACTCTCTGTCTGATCAAAAAAATGTCTATAAGCTAAACTCTTAAAAGTGCGCCACAGTAGCGAAATAACTCGGGGATAACTCAAGAATAACTTATTCTTGAGTTATCCCCGAAGTTATTACTGCAAAACGTAGTAGCGAAATAGGTCAGGGATAACTCAAGAATAACTTATTCTTGAGTTATCCCCGAGTTATTTCGCTACTACGTTTTGCAGTTCTGTGACACCCGGGATTACGTTAAGACACCGAAATAACTTTTGGCTGCATGTCATTGGCGAAGATTAGTTGCATGTCATTGGCGAAGATTAGTTGCATGTCATTGGCTCTAGTTGACAGAAAAGAACGATGATTTGAAGTCGACGACGTGGTTCTAAATGACACTAGCAACTTTACACCGTGGAACCAAACTGGGGACCAAAAAACAAACCAAGACGACCACAACTTTACCAGCCACGTTCGGCCGAAAAGAGCAGATTTTCTATCGTTATACTGACTGCTGTGAAGTTTTTTTGCGTGTCAGTTTGAGAGGAAGTTACACTGGTCTCTGACTGGTGCACGAAAAGTTAGGTTATACTCGCTGCTGGAGAGACGCTCTACCGCGTGGATCAGAGCAATAGCGACAAGTTTCGGCTGGAAAGCGTGGATGAGTCTTCCATCGCCGTAACAGTCCTGTCAAACGTCTTAATTTTAGGCGGCCCAGCACCCAGTTCAACGGAAGATGGTCGTGTTGTGATGAACAAAAACACACACGCAACACGATCATGGACCCCGGTACAACTTTCCCGTACGACATGCTAGTTCTTGCGTCGACAACTTGCGAATTTCTACCACGTGTGAGGAGAAAAGCTTTGGTAAGCTATTGTGGTCCCGACCACATTGCGCTAGAAGTATTCACGAAGTTCTTTATTGCTTTGCGGAGCTCTAAGTGCGCAGCCGTAGCCTCAGCGGCATGTTGGCAAAAATTAGCTCCCGAATTGTTGCCAAGACTAGCCCTATTTCTTGGTGCCAGTACCTGCCAAAGAGTAGTCGGTTCTGATTGGCTATTGCTTGGGACAACGCGGTCTGAGAGATTGAACAAAATTAGAATCTAGAGCGTACATGTCGGAACCTCGATATCGGTGTGCTAACGATTATTCCATCGTTAGCTATAAACACACGCAATACATAAAGACTTAGGCCTCGTAACAGTCCATAACATCAGTACCCTCAAATTGGACCACTTAAATTTTATCGGATGGCAGAGGCAGGATGGGGCCGACACAAACTGGTGAATACGATATCATCACTTTAGATGGTCGTTTGCAACACCTGCAATTTGGAGCGCGTTGGCTCAACAAGTGCTCAAAACTGTCGATGTCTACAGGCACCTGACACTATCGCTGTCCACCTATTAGCAGCGTGACGCTTTGCATGGTCGGTCTTCCACCGAATAACTTCACGCCATCGACATGTTGACAACATTCCCGCAACTTAGGCCGGAGTTGTCTAATCATCTGGTCGCTGCTGGAATCACATCACAAAGCGGCACATGGTCTATTAGGCCCTACTTCGCAATCTATTTGTATTGCATCCTCCATCAGTGGTCAACAAAAGACCTCTCGCACACGGCGCAAAACCCCGTACTCTTGACTCGGACTTGAAAACACTAGATTTACACACGAGCAAGTTGTTGTAACGTCTCAACTTTATCTCTTTTTACGAATCTCTACAAAAGGGTCGGGGCAGATAAACGCACGTCAAGTCCATGTTCCAATCCGACGTGCCCATGTCACTCTTCCAGAAACTGTCCGACCAGTAAACACATCCTTGCACACGTACGCACATCCACTCTCACGCTCTCTCTCTCTCCACAGTCTCCTAAACGTACCTTCATCCCCAACAGTCGTACAACTTCTTCACCAAACGAATTCCCATCATGCCACCCAACGACAGCCGAAGTCAAACCAGTCGACGCCTCCCCTGCAATCCCAAGACGACCAAGGCTACACCCCATCCACCACCACTGACTCATCCATCCTCCACGTCTCCGTCCACCTCCCAATGCACGACGATCAACGACCCCAAGCGCGTCCTCCTGCGACGCGACAGTTCATCGTACAAAAACCTTCCGTGCCTCGCACGGTCTACCACTCGCTGTCTGCGTGGGTGGCTCACCCGACGTAGCCCGTTCTGCATGTGCGATTCCAAAACTTTCTCGGACTCTGCTGGTCCTTTTTGTCGGTGGTCCATGTGGTAGAAGTGCCGGGGACACCAGTATACCACTGTTGTATGTACGTGTGGTAACGTCGACGATGAACATGTACCGTTGACGAGTGGCAAGACTGAAATTCGGGTCCACTGACTTTATGCAGCCGTGAAGAACGAACATTAGAGCTACCGCATCGATTGCTTGTACGTACGTGATGAACACTCGATAAAAGCTCGCAATCGATCGAAGAAATAGCTAAAGTTTGGCCGCCGCTGTCGCAAAGAGATACAAGCTTGCATCGCTCGATGTTTTCGACACTTAGCAGGTCAATTTATCCATACTGAAGCGGGAGCCAAAAATTGAATCATTCGTAATGGTAAGAAGTTAGGTCTTTTATGCTAGTGTTCGCTGGCTGACCGACCTGTCACGGGCCCCTGATCCTTATTTGCGATCGACTGGCTCAACCTCTGTCTGATTCTCTTTATCTTCAACGTATGCTGCATAACCCTTAGCGAGACTCCTGTACGTCTCGTTGACATCTCTGCTTTTACTCTCCTCGAGGCTACGGGTGACTTGTTCGATGGAATATCCACTCTCGTACCAGCGATCGTAAAACCTCGTCGTCGTCTCCAGGCTGGACAGCAAATCCTTTAGCTTGTCTTCGATGAAGGTTTTCTTGGGCGCGCCACTGCTTGGGGAGTACTCAACAGTGTTATCTTCATTGAAATCCTGAGCACCACGGAGCATTCGCTTGGTCTTGGTCTCCGATTTAAGAAGGTCGATCAGGTGGACTTGGTCCTGCGAAGCTAGGTTTCTGGCTCTAGCATCATGTGCGGGCTTAGCGGCTGAAGCAGAACTCTTACTTGCGACAAGAGCGGCGGCAACCAGTGTGAGGACGTATTGTAGATGCATAGTTGGTTGAGATCAATTTCGAGGCACCGATGTTGGTTGTTTATATTACTCGAAATTGCTGAATGACCACCACGTCGATGTTGGGGCAAACTGGCACGCTGAACACCGCCTACCGCGTGAACACCAGGTAATCAGGAGTGATATGCTCCGTCCTAGTCGCCACGGTTCGGGGGGGGGCTGCACTTCCCATGAACGTGTAGAGGCACTTCTGCCTTGCACGCAAATCGTCACTGCACATGAAGGAGTTGCACGGGCGATAGCCTGGCCAAAAGGTAGGTCGCTTCTACCTCGATGTGGCGATTGCTTTGCTCATTTAAATGCTGTATGCTGGCACTTGTGCTCGCTCCTTCGTAGACGTCTCACTCGGATAGCCAGTCGTTCAGTATGGGCAAGTGCAGATTCTTGGTCAGTCAGGTCTGCTAGATGTCGAAATAGGCTACTTTCACGTACTTGACTGTTGACCTGTTAGATGTTAAAAGCTATTGCTGTGATACGAACGCCCCTGATGCGTGCTCTTTAGCACACTTTGTCAATGTGGATACTGCCATACTACGCGGCTGCCGCTGATCCAGAACGTTTGCAACCGACATGAGCTAACGACACCGAATATAATGCGACGAGGCGACTGGATGCAGCGACATGACAGCACATCGCCGTTGATGCTCATGGCTGCGGCTGTAAACAATGGTCGCAACGTAGTCCGTCTTGCTCAGCATCGGTGTAGCAAACGAACGCCAATGTCGACATGTCGAGGCTCGAGTACGGACATGCAGTGATGCCATAAGAGGGACAAGTGCGTACGCATCACGTACAAAAAACGTGACCATGAGACCATTCGAAATGCGAGAATAGTCAATTGAAAAGTGGAATTGCTACAACTCTATAGCGGCCACTCATTTGATAGTGCGGGAAGTAGCAAGCGGACACTACAGGTTGAGATTGAGCAAATCGAGACCTTGGAATGCTCACACGTTTCGGCTTAGCTTGCTCGTCAAGCAAACCCGTCAAGACGCTCTGTATGAACGAACACTCTATGCATTTCTTTTTTAAGCCTTTCCGCCGATCGTGCATTCGTGTACCTAGAAGCGTGATGATTTGCTTCTGAATTGTCGTTTTAGCAAAGCCCAAGCTTTTCATCCTGTGTAGGTCAGGGCGGGTATAGTATACGTACGCTATCAAGAAACCGTCCCGGACAACTACAGTATGATCTTACCATACCGTAAACTGGTTCGACAACCAAGAAGACGCCATAGGAGGCATTCAAATGTCAAAGGTTGACGACCACTGGCTGAGCAAGTGATATCACTACCCTACTCTTCATTGGGACAAGCTAGACTCTGACTCCTCTGACAGTAAAGAGAGCGACACACGTCTCGTCGTGGTGTTTATCCTACGTTTGCATGTATGTTCCTAGCATTGAGCGCTAAGATAATCTATCGATCACCGAGAGCGTTTTGAAAGCGACGCTTAGACAGAAGTGCCTCGTCAGTAAGGATCGTGAGTTGTCCAAAAATATGTAAGCGACATTGACATAGCGAAACGAAGAAGCTTGTTCATTCACCCAAGGTGCACCCCGAGGCAACCATTGATGCAGACTGCCACGTGTCGAGAGTCAGTTTCCAGACGTACAAGTCGTGCCGCCGAAGATAGATCCGGTAGGGTCCATCCTGGACAATATCCTACCCTTGTCTGTGCAACCTGCAGCCCCTGCTGCGTGCTAGATACGAGCTGAATCGCGCCAAATGCGGCCTCAAAGAATGGACACCACTTGCGCATGAACAGTGTCACATCGTGGCGCAAGAGACGCGAACGCTTGCGGAATTGCGATTGCGTCTACCATTCTACCATGTTTTACACCGCAAATCGAAGAAACACATCCGAGCGTTGCAGCGAATGCACAACGACGAGTGGATCGAATGTGCTACCACTTTTGTTCGGTCTTGCCCTCAACGAGTATTGCAAGGGCTCAATCCAGATGACAAGACAGATGCTACATAGTCGAAGGCTGCCTCTCTTCGCACCCAACTCAGACTGTTTATACACTTGCTAACAGCATAGCCGTGGACAGTAAGCAGGTCTCACACTACGTAGTGGCAACACGTGATGGGACGGACGTTAAGAGCATCTACAGCAGTGAGTATAACTTAACTCTCTGTCTGATCAAAAAACGTTTTCAAGCTAAACCCTTAAAAGTGCGCCACAGTAGGGAAATAGGTCGGGGATAACTCAAGAATAAGTTATTCTTGAGTTATCCCCGAGTTATTTCGCTACTACGTTTTGAAACTCTGTGACACCCAGGATAACTTTTTGACACCCGAAATAACTTTTGGCTGCATGTCATTGGCGAAGATTAGTTGCATGTCATTGGATCCAGTTGATAGAAAAGAACGATGATTTGAAGTCGACGACGTGGTTCTAAATGATACTTGTAGCGGAGCTACACAGCTCCTTAAGTCAGAGGAGAATCAACGCTCAACGAGCAGCTTAGCTCTACAGGAACTAGACTCAATGAGATAATGAGCCTACCGCTTATGATTCTTGTTCAGGGGACCAAATAATTTAATAGATCGACAGCACGTAGTGCTCAAGAGTAACTACATAGCTCAGGGAGGTGTTGCTTTCTATTAGTGATCAGCGGTCAATGACCAAAGACGCCTCGCAAGGCACGCGTCTTTAAGATCGAAAGGGGAACTAAAGTTTATTTACATTTACACCTATAGAATACCTTAACCTAAGTAAGTGTAACTAAGGTCTCTCCAATCTAGTGACTGGCACCAGTCAGCCCCTACTGTAACGGGCACCCTTTGTCTGGGTGCCACGAAACTTCACGTACACTAGTACGTGCAGAGGAAGCTAATCTACTTGAACTACTCGTTCAAGTGAAGGTAAAAAAGAGAACTGTATTTAAGATAGTTAAGCTATCAATATAGTTTTAATCCGTGTCTAACTATATTAAACCACGTCGTCGTATGACGACAAACTGCTCACCACTCACTGAGCGCGTCTAGCAGCGATTGGTGGTAATCTATGGTTGATATGTCTTTAATCAACCTATCTTGGAGCAGCACTTGAATATTATCTAAAGAGGATAAAATTCCTTCAAAATTATCCATCCCGGATAATATCGGTAAAATATTGTCATGCTAGACAATATCTTTATTAACACCGTTTGGTGTCAACATCATAGAACATGCTACCCCTTTACACCACCTCCTCCTTAACCATCAATCTCCCATTGATTGAATGGAATTGATTGGGACGGGGTGATTACCGTTAATTCTTTCTGAGAAAGGGAGGACTTGTCGGTCATATTCCGTTCATTTGCCAATCCAACGCATGGTTTCAAAAATCACGCGAGCTGCTACTGCAGCAGCAAGTAGGGTGGCTGCACTCATGCGTGCGGCCGCGGAAGTGCCTCTCACGCCTCAGTAGCAGGCGATTCGTTGCCTGTTGTCGTAAATCCTCCACGTGGTGAGTCATTACGTGCGACAGGTACATCCGTTGCGTCTGCAGCGGGTACCTCGGGTCGTAATCAAGACAAGTCTGAGATAGTGCTCATCTTTTCTGGCGAGTCAGATGATGCATCCGACTCGAAGGCGACACCTCACGCCTTCGGGTAATCCGGGGCGGACACTGCAAGAGCCAAGTTGACTTGCTCTGGTCAACGTGGTGGCATCATGCTCGAGACTTCGGATCGAGCGATTGTTCGGACGAATCCCCGCCTCACGCAAGTCCTCCCAAAGATAGGTCGGGTGGAGATGGTGGTGATGCATCGATACATCACGGCGAGCGAAGTAACTCGAGAAATCGAGGTCACTGGTGTCAGTGCTCACGCTGGCACCAATCAAGAGGCCAGGCACCAAAATGTCCTGCGCAACGCTCCTCAAGTGGAGTCTCCGTGGATGCCGCCATCCAGAGTGCTGGACCGATTGGCCGGCACGACTACTGAATGGGATCGAATCCCGTTGTTCGATCGCAAGAAGATTTTCCCTCCTGATTTCAGCACGGAAACTATCCGTGCTGACGAAGAGTTCTTCACCGATGCGTTCTTAAAACATCGATGGTACAATGGCAGCAGTGATCGAAACGTTTAAGCTTAGGTGCAGAATTGGAATGCCCTCATCCATAACATCGAGTGCATTGGCATGAGGCCTGACTCGCCCAACTTGATGCAGCTTGCATCAGGTTGGAAACACGCTACCCAGTCGGGGCGTGATGCAAGTTGCACTGGCTGTCAAGAGAGGCAGGATCACCCCTGTCTCGCGTGTGGTGATTCGTGTCCAGGTTGCCTGGACAACTCGAACCGTTCCCCTAGGAAGGCCTACCTCCCTAATGATCCCTACTGGAGGGCACGCATCTCTTCTGAGATGGCCGAAGGGATTAAAACCTTGCAATCCCTGTACTTGTTCGGGATGGTCGTTTTCTGACGGCCCTTCTTCGAACGCAGCGGGCAAGTCTCGTCGTATTGATCGATGAGACCAAGGACATCAGCAATTAGCTGGGCAGGAGGCTCCCAGGTGTCCCACGCCAGCGGACGAGGTAACTCGTCCGGACGCCATTCACGTCGCGGTGGTTCAAGATACGCTTACCAGAAAGCGTTGACCACCGCCAGAGTCCACCAAAGGATGTGATGGTGGCGGGAACACCTGATCCGGCTCGAGGGTCGGATCAGCTTGATGATGAGGAGCTGAATCGTGTAACAGAACAGATGCAAGATGGACCGACTCAGCGTTATGAGCTTCATGACCTTGCATAAGGAATAATCATAATTCCCCAATGCACGATCGTTTGGACAATCGTGCTGCTTTTGCGTTCGAGCAACTTGATAACGAACGTTTGACTCTTTCTTTTCGTGAGGAGCTGACTTCTGCTCGTCGAGACATCGCTTAACTGAGTGAGCAGGTCGCTTCGCTAGTCGACCAGACTGGTTTGTTGAAGCAGGCTGCACTCGAGGGTGGTCTCGGCTGTCGACCGCGGAGGTGTTCTTCGCCTCTCGAAAC